CATCTGAAGTTGGATGATCCACAAGTCGTCGTTTCTCTGTTCCTTTTCTTTCATTTTAACGAGTGAGGAGGGATTCAGTCAATGCAAGAGATGGAAAGAACTTTCCTGGTTCTACTTTTAGCACAGGATTTCAAAATGAACTAGCTGGTGGCTATGGTAAGGTTATCTAGAAATAGAGCATTGAGGCCCAAAACATTATTGTTCAAGCTTACACAAATCTGCCAAAATATCAATAGCGATCTTATTTTCTGCCTAGCCTTTGGCCTCTTTCTATAACATTTTTTTTTTTTTGAAGTAAAAAATATTTATATCTTATGAAGGCTAAATGGTACATACATCCTCTGAATTTTAAGTCATTTAACAATAAATCCTTCAACTTCTTATTTTAAGTTAGACATCGTCTCTCTAATTATTTTTCGTTTGAAATTAGGTTTTTCCGTTAGGTTTTTATCAATTCGAACAGTAGAAACTATAAATGAATTGTGCATGGATGTTTTGTTTTTTCTTCTAAAACTTTTTTTTCCTTTGAAATATTTTTTAATTGCTTACTTTTTAGCATTTAGGAGGAAAGAAACTAGTTTTGAAAGAAAAAACAATACATGCTTCTATAAGTTTCGTCATATTTTTAGATGTTGAAAAATTATTTTTACACATTATAATTGATGAAAATCTAACAAAATGACCTAATTTTAAAAGAAAAAAATGATGAAGAGAGGTCCAATATGAAATTGAAAGTTGAAAAAATAATTTTCAAATGATTTAAAATTTAACAGAAATTTATGAAGTTCAATTCTTCATGGGAAAAAAAAAATTCAATGACATTGGCAATCTCGCTCTTTTCAAACTCTAATATTGAAGCAATTATATCAGTTTTGTGGATAGGAAAATTCAATTACTCTCTCTTTTATATATATATATATAAATAAATGTCAACTTCAATTACAATTTCCAGGAAGTCATTTTCGACAATGAAAGTTGATGAACTTTGGAACAAGGAAAGAGAGGGTAAGAAAGACTAGAGAAAGTAAAAGATCTTATAAATTCTATTCTTATTAAAATATTTTAAAACTTTTAGAATAAAATTTAAATTTAAATATTTTTCTATTACTTCTATCGACCGAAATAGAGAGAGAAGAAAATTGGAAACAAACTGAAAGGTTTATCTTAAAAAAAAGACCTTCAAATGTTTCAAATCTCATTTCCTAAGCTTCTTTGTAATTACGGTAAGATTTAGACCTATTTCTTTGGATTTAAGAATACAAAGAGTTTAGAAACCTCGATTTTAAAATCAATTCGTGTCCATCAAAGATAATAGAAGGATAGTTAGCTTTTGAGTTATAAAATAATAATAATAATAATAATAAATTCCCCGTTGGAATGTTTTGATGGGTTTTTGGAATATTTTTTGGCCATGGTGTGAGACTGATTTGGAATTGTAGACTGCCGTGGGTTTCATGGCAGTCCAACTCCCCCGTTCTGTGGGCTTCAGGAGTCCAATTTCATTTTTAGCCGGGATAATGACATTATTAATATATCAATTTTGAATATTTTTTCAATCAAATATATCAATTTTATTTTTTAGTTTTTCAGTGTTTTAATTTTTTTGAAAATATCTATTAATTTTTTTCTGTCAAATTTTTCATCTAGTGATGACATAATAATTAATATAGAAAACTAAATGACTATATTATACTTTAAAGACTTCAAAAATATATATATAGACCATGTGATTTTAAGAATTTTATTTTATTACTTATTTTTTTATAATTTACTGAAAGACATTTCAGTTAAAAAAAATTCAAGGTCACAAAATTTGATTGGAGACAAATTAAACATTTTAAAAAATTTTAGAGATAAATGTGACGTAATTAAAAATCTAAAAACAGATGACAGATTTTAAGTATTATATAAAATAAATTTATCCTGAAATAAAAGAAAATTAGTTACCAATTAAAAAAATCTTTCTTAGTAAAAAAAAAAAAAAAGTGCAAATTGCCACCCCACGTACACCTTGTCCAACGATCACCAAGATCTCTACTTACTTGAGCTTTACAAGGCTTGAGTTAGCCCACATGTCCAATTTGGATCTTGTTGCTTCTCTTGCATAGCCATACAATTAATAGTTTCTTCCCTTTCAAAAGCCCGGCCATTAGCACATGTCCTTTAGGTCTTGTTTTCTTTCCATATCTGAAAGGTGCACAATTGCATATCTTCTATTCCTCGGATTCTAAGACCACTTGCTCACGCATTGTTGCATTCCCCATTTTTACTTTTAATCTTTACTTCAAATTGTTTGTTCATGATTCCAAACCACCAATTAGACTCAAGTTCAATGATAGATAGATCTTGATCTTATGAAATGCGAAGGGAGGATGCATATTCTTACCTCCAACAGGATCCATTCACACTATACTTGAGTTGAGAACGATTGTTTAAAGAATTATTGAAAAAAAAAAAAATTTAAAAAAATTTCAAAGTTTTAGGTTACAATTATCACTTTAGGACAAGAGATTTACGTAGTTTGATAATATATCTATTTTATGGCTATATTAGGAATTCTTATTAGAACTTTTAATTATTTATAAATACAAGACATAATGTTCATATTTTTAATGTGAACAACTAAAGTTATAATAAAAAAATTTTAAATGTCTATACATCTTACACAATATTTCATGGACCTTTCGAAGTTTTTGTTTTTGAACATCTACAAGATGCACTCGCCCGCTTGATTCTCACTCGTTAATTGACAGAGCCAACATGATGTAGACTACTAAATTACGAAATATATTAACATCAGTCTCCATAACTTAACATTTAACATTGAGAGTCTCGTTGATTTTTTTATAAAAAAAAGAGCTCCATTTTGAAGTTTATTTAATTTTTAGAGCTTTTCTAGTTTTTTTTTCTTTATTCTATTGGCAACTTATGTTTCGAAAACTTTTTCAACCAAACTTTTTTTGACAGCTATTTACTATTTTTAAAATTTGTTGTCATGATTATGATTATAATTATAGTTATAGTTTAGTTCGATCTTTAAACCAACTCGATTGTAAATTCATCACTATTTGAATCGTTCTAGTAATTGAGGCCTCATTTTTTATTCATTTATAAAATCATTGGACCATAGATATCATTAAAAAAATTATATCATTAGGGTTTGAAATTTATACGAAACCATTATTAGGTTATTTAAACAAGATTCATTCTACATCGTATATCTTTGTAATGTTGATGGATATGACCATAACTTTACGAAGGAAAGAAAAGAATATCAAACGAAAAAAGTAACTAAAAGCAGGGCACTTTGCATGGGCGCAAAATTTATACGTCCCACGTAAATATCCTCCTCGCATAAATATCTTCTCATCACATGCCTAACGAATCGAGTAAATTATAAATTAGTTCTTTTATTTTTGAAAAGATAAATTATTTTTTTCAAAAATTAATTATTTAATTTTTATATCATTTTATAATTTATTTTTTTTGTTCTTTTTTAATTTAGTTTATTTTTTATTTTTATAAATAGGAAAAGAAAAAATTAAGTAAAAAATATTGAAGCATTATGAGAAAAAATATATTTTTTGAAATAAATTAATATTAAGTTAATTACTATTAACAATGATTAAGAGACTAAATAGTTATTTTTTGAAAAAGGGTTAAGTAATTTGTTTCTGAAAAATAGAGGGACTAATTTATAATTTACTCCTAACCAATGTCTGGTCATATTGTTGGCCACCCAGCCCCTTAAAAAGCATCAGTCCGTTGATCGCACTTCTAAGCCACAGGTTTTTGCCACATGTCATGCTTCTAAGTGAGGTCTATCTCTTGCTACCGACCTTAACTAGTCCCGTTTGGGTAATAATCATGTGGTTCATACACCATATATATGGTAAGCCACTCGACTCTTTTTCTTTTTTTTTTTTTTTTTTTTTCCATTTTAAATGCAAATAAGGCAATAAAATTAGATTTTTTTTTATGGGATGAAGAAAAATTAAATATACTAAAAAATTTTATTGGAAAATCACATAAAAAAATAATTACAATATATTCCCTTTGTTTTCATCATCAAAACATAATTGAATATATATTTTTTAAATAACATCATTAATTTATTAATTAAATTATCTAGTTAATTATTAGATTTAGATAAAAAAAAGTTTTATGATTATCTAGAATCATTTAGTGTAATTTTCTTCTCTCTTGTGTGCACATTCTCCTATAATCGATCAAAGAAATGAGTTTAATTATCAACTTAATTCGGATATGATTTTTTTTTTTTTTTTTTTTGCATCTGTCTTTTTTCTCAAAATAAATACATAAAATAAGTATTGCTAATTACTATTTGAGTATTTTAAATTTTTTTAATAAAAAATATTATTTTGTAAATACGTCGATTCGAGTATAGATAGTTTACTTAAAACTTACTTGAAAATAAATTGAATATCTAGAAAATAATTTGAGGATATCCTCTTGTTAAAACAATAGGTTTAAATCCTAAAATAGGCTGTTAATTTTTTTTTTAATCACAAACGTGTTTGTTCGAATGTGAGTAGCCCAATTGAGAAAAAAATTATATATATTAATCATTAGACTTCACAATTATCAAAAATTAATTTAGTAGCGAATTTTAGATTTTAAAGAAAAACTACGATGTTCAAATCTCATTTTTTATATATTTTTTTATTCCAAGAGCACAAAAAGACTTGAAATATTTGATTTTAAAATCAATTTATATTCACTAAAAATAATTAAAAAATGATAAAATTTTAAGTTATATATATATAAATTATTAGATGCATGTAAAAATTGATTAGAAAATATTTTTATTGTGGATGTTTATTAATATATACGTGGCATACTCTTATAAGTCACTCGCCGATATAATTACCAAAATGCCACACGGTATCTATTTCACTCCTCCGCTTCTCTACCCGCTAATTCAAAACACACACTAAAAAAAAAAACCACCAAAACCAAAACCCTTTTCTTCTGCTTAAATGGTATCAAAAAACCCGAACCCGACAGACGGATTCTACTTGGATCCAACCGGAATGGCAGCATTACCGGGACTTTCACCTTTCGCGACTACAACGGCCCCACCAACAGCCACAACTACGACGTCTTCTTCATCGGAGGATCTGAGCAAGAAGATACGAAAACCGTACACGATTACCAAATCCAGAGAGAGCTGGACTGAACCGGAGCATGACAAGTTTCTTGAAGCTCTTCAGCTGTAATTAACTCTTAATTGATGCTTTAGCGATAACCCATTTGTTTAATTGTTTTAATTAGGGTTTTTGTTGTATTTTTCTTTTTTTGCGAAAATTTGAATTTTGAGGTAAATTGAGAGGCTTTTGTGGTTGTTTCGTTCGGTTTTGTGTTTAGGTTTGATAGAGATTGGAAAAAGATTGAAGCTTTTGTTGGCTCAAAGACTGTTATTCAGGTATTGCTATATATATATATATATATATATATATATATATATATATATGTATGTATATTAATTGCATTTTGGTAATTTGGTGGAGGTTAAATTGTTGTGTGTATGCGCCTGCTCCTGTGTGTGTTCTTTTCTTTCTTTTGTTAATTACTGTTTTGGTTAATAATTTGGGAAGTGCTAATTTCATCTTCAGGAGTTTGTGTGATTTTTTTAAGAATGCTGTAATAAAGTTTTTCTAAGATTAGGGTTTTGTTGCCTTGGGGTGATGAAAATGGATAAATGGCTCGATTCGTGTAAGGGGTTCTGAAAGACTAGTGTTTTGTTGTCTTGGAGCTGTAAAAAATTGATACAGGGCTTGATTATTGTACGGGGTTCTCAAAGTTTAGTGTAAAGCGTTGGAGCAGTGAACATTGGTACCTTTGTTTTCTTTTGGTTGTTAAAGAGTTCTGCTATGTAGTTTTATGGTTAGTGTGAAGAGTATGGATTTTACTTGTGGTATTTTGTGTTTTAGATGAATTCTGCTGTTGAAATGTTTAGAGGCTTGTTAAGCAGTGTGTTTTTTATTTATGGAAATTATGTCCAGCTCCTCGTGTTTTTTAAACTAGAAACTGAAAGTAGAGATACTCATTTTGCAGATACGGAGTCATGCACAGAAGTACTTTTTAAAGGTCCAGAAGAGCGGAGCAAGCGAACATTTGCCTCCACCGCGGCCTAAAAGGAAGGCTGCTCATCCATATCCTCAGAAGGCTTCAAAAAACGGTGAGTAGTGCATTTTTAGGGTATTCTTTGTGCCTTCAGGATCAATGCATAAACAGCATAAACAATGTAGCCCTGACTCTTATGTATTGTACTTGGCAGCCACAGTGGTTTCACAAACATCAGGGTCTTTTCAATCATCGTCTGCTCCTCTTGAACCTGGATATGTTTTAAGGCCTGATTCCTCTTCAATGCCTATGAACCCCATTGCTAGTGCTACTGCTGCTGCATCTTCTTGGACAAACAATGTGCCTACTGTTAGTTTATCAAACCAAACAAAAGGTTAGTAACATCAACCTTGTCCACATTGCTGGCATCATCGTCTAAAATTGCTTGGTCACGCTTGTTTCCACTTTACCTGTGCTTTGCAGGACCAGTAGTGGCTAATAATTGTTGCAGTAGCACTGAGAGTCCTCCAAGAACAAAACCAATTGTGAAAACAGCTGAGCAAGGAAATCATGGTCATTCAATGAAAGGTGAGGGTTTGTTTCATTCTTTTAACACTATAATCTGTGCGCTACCAATTTAATGCTAGTAATGATATTTTAACCTGTAAATACTTGATTCATGTCCAATTTCTGAAGTTGGGCTAAAATGCAATATGCAGTTTTTGTGGATAAAGGTCAAAAGCTTAACCAAATAAATATGGTGTTACATGGGACTACCCTCCAAACTTTAAGTGTGTGCATGCACGAATATGCATGTTGATATCCTACTGTGGACATTTCTGTCTCCACTGACTTGAGGGGACCATTTATACTTTCCATTCGTTGAGATATTGAGAAGGACGTTTTGTCCTTTTATGGTAAATGATCTCCTTGCATCATTCTGAACTTTTAAGTTTTACCATGCAGTCAAGTTTGAATAATCACCAGCCATAGAGCTGGATGGTGACACATACTGGATTGCCTGAAATTTTTCCTGATATCTTCTCATTGATGACTGGAAGTTATATTCTACTCCCCTCATGCCAAATTTTTCATCAGATTGCCACTGTTAGGTTGCTCCCTTCTGCAGCGTGCATCAGTGCATCTTACTTACTAGAGGGTTATATAGATGGGTGGAGTCTAATTTGTGTTCTGTCATTCATTGAGAATGTTTTAAATAGTTACCATGAATCTATCCTTTCTGCATTAGACAGGATTTTTTGCATTTTTACGTACATGTTCTCCTTTTGTTTCTCTTCTACTCGTTTCATTTTTTTTTTTTTTTTTTTTGGCATAGAGAGCTTTGATGAGTTTATCTTTTTATGCTAGTTGTTATTAATTTCGTGTTTCATTTGCACACCTTGTAGCACTCACACTGCCCCTCCTTTTGCAGTTCTGCCGGACTTTTCTCAGGTATATGGCTTCATTGGCAGTGTCTTCGACCCGAATGCTACTGGTCATTTGCAGAATCTTAAGAAAATGGACCCCATAGATACTGAAACGGTATGTTCGTGCCCAACCTCTTTACCATTATTTATTATTTATTGTTCTAAGGTTATTGTGCACTACATCTCTTGCAATTTAAATGTTCATTTAATTTTCTCCCTGGTTTCTTTGCAGGTGCTATTGCTGATGAGAAACCTCTCAATCAACCTTACCAGCCCCAGTTTTGAGGAAAATGTGAGTGCCTTTTCAAAAAGGAATTATGTTTATTGCTTGCTACTGTTTCATGGGTTCAGGTTTTAAAAATATCATGATTCATATCGTGCGTGCACATAAATATGAAACATTGCACCATATGAACAATATCTTGTGCTCAATGAGGCAATGATCTCTTTTTCAATCGCATATCAAGTATACTTCAGAGTTTAGATTGCAAGCTGGCCTTGTTTTCAGTTCTGTTAGACCTACTGGAACCTACTAGCTTACCAGAGAAATCATGTCCAAGAAAGAAAATTGCTAGTACGAATAACCGGCCATGGGTATGTAGGCCTAGTTCAGTCAACGGGCTTCACCATTCATTCCATTCCTCCATTTGTCACAGGTTGGGTCTAGTTATTCAGATGGGCACTCACCTGATTGTTTTCAAATGCTCATGACTTGTTCCATTGCTAGTATCTTTTGTCCTAGCATATAGTTCTCCAAAAAATACTGTTGTATCAAAACCAGCTAATTTAGTTTGACTGTATATTGACATCGCTATCCTATTAATGCAGAGAAAGTTGCTCTCTTCCTACGAGATCGACTCAGAAACCATTTGTGCAAACAATAACGTTGACCAATCAATGAATGTTGCTTAATTTTGGTGAGGAAACAAGAGCAAACAATGTTTCAGCATTGTTGCCGGTGCTTCATGTTTGCTTTGTACGACCATTACCGACTCATAGCAGTTGGTATGCCAGAAAAAACGACCGTCGTTAGAAATCTTTAACTGCCAGCTATTAAAGGCATCTGCAAGACTGCAACACTTCTTTTGTCACCAGCTTCTCTTGTTTGTTAGGCTATCAGTTGTTGCACAGTTTGTAAGTAACATTTGTCCAAAGTAGATATTGGAAAGAGGAAATACATAATAATTATGTATAATAGTTCAGGAGTGTACAGTGATCTTAAGGTCAGCATGTATAGTGCCAAATCACTCACAAGTTTTGACTCTCAACATCTAAAGCTGGGCAATGCAAGTGTGATCATGTATGTCACTTGTAATCCATCCTGTCTTTAAAGCTCACACTGTTTCTTGCTCAATAGGGTGTTTGTATTGTTTGGCTATGGGCATTAGCTTTTTATTCAGTTGTATCCAATAATTGAAGAATGGAAAATTATCTTTTTTTACTTGTTCATTTCGATTGAAATGCTACATCAGAGAGGCACTGGCCAGCAGTTTTGCTTTCTTCTCTATAAATATTATGAAGCACATAAATGATAAATGTCCTCAGAAATCTGTCGTGTCAGTGGGCTGGTAGCTGCTAAAGATATTGGTAAATATTTGTTGTGAAGGTTAGAAGGAAACGAGCAAGGTGGAAAGCTATACTCCATTTAGGGTTGAAGCATTGAGTGAACTTATAAAAAAGATTGATCTGGTTAATTGGATTCAAATATGCCAGCTAAAAGTTCATGTGGATCTTTGAAATTTCTTCATAAAATGAAATTAGTTTGTGATGTTGCACGGATTTAATCTAAGAATTTATAGATTTAATCTCGGTTCAATGAGAAATTTGATTTGAGAATATTTTATTATTTGTAAATATAAAAAAGAAAAAAAAAGATTCGATGAGAAATCTGATTCGAGAATACTTTATTCTCTGTAAATATATAAAAAGAGAAAAAGAATCAGTTAGTAATATAGAAATATGCAATTTTTTTTGCAATCTCAATCTCAAATTTCTATTCAGTTGGATAATTTTGGTTGCCATTGAGGGAGGTTACACTGTCAAGGAATAATGGGGAAGGTCTAATGGAGTAAATTATAAACGAGTCCTTCTAGTTTTGAAAAATAAAGTCATTAATCTTTTTTTTTTACAAAAACTAATTATTTTAAAATGGGATTTGAAATATATATATATATATTAAAAAATTACGAATTTTATACTTTTTAATCGTAATAATTTATTTTTTTAATTTTGAATAGAAATGTCACGAATTAAAGTTCCGATAACCATATCGGGACTGATGAATTTTTTCGAATATTATGATTAAAAAATATAAAATTCGTAATTTTTTGGTACATTAAACCTTTGTATATTATTTTTAATTGTTTTTTCAATCGGTTAGAAATCATGAAGTTGACCTGCAACTGAAAATTATTGTAAGATATATCTTTAAAATCGATTAAAAAAAATTAAAAACTTGATTTCGATCAATAAGTAAGTTATTTTAAAATACGAAAGTACTCTTATTTGTCGAATCTAAAATATAAGAAATAATATTCCCTGACACCCGCATGCAATCCGCCATGAAAGCAGCGGCAGTCTCCGATTCCAAACCAGTCTCCCACGGCGGCCAAAAAATATTCTGAATGTTTTCCAAGAGCCCATTAAAGATTCCAAGCTCACAAAATAAGTTAGAAAAAATATATATAAAATACACTGAACTCTAAGACTTTCTTGGTGCCTTTTCGCTTTAATATATATTCTTAGATCATCATCATCGTCATCATCATATATATATATATATATATATATATATATATATCCCTTCTAATAAAAAAAGTTATCTTCACCAGAAGTCAAATACCATTTTAAAACTTCAAGATTAGTACTAAACAGCCTTCCCTAGATGAAAAGAAAATTGCATTTTTGAGGTACTTATTAAAAGTATTCCTTCGAAAATCTAGTCAAAGATCATCGGATCGAAAAGAAAAACTCCAAATACATTATCAATAATAATAAAAAAAAAATATGCAACTAATATAAAAATTTTCTAGGATTTATCTTTCAAGTTTTCCTTCTCTAGTGCACTGAGATTTGAAATGTTTGAGGGTGTTCTTAGAAATAAATTGTATTAAATGTAAGTATGCATAGCTTAACAATCGTGTGTCGATAATTTTTTTTCACTAAAGTAAAAGCACACGAACCTCCGAAAAAAAAAAAAAATCAATTTTATTTTATTCCTAAAACATGAGTAGAACTCATTATGATTTTTTTTATTCAACAAGTAAAAGTGTTTTTGAATCAAATTTTGTACATTTCGATACTAATCTCTTTCGAACGTGACTCACTAGCCTCTTAATAAAAAATAAAAAAATTGTATTGAGGTTTATATATTGTCTCAATTTTATTTAGAACTTTCATTAATTATTATTTTGATTTCTTTCTCTCTTCATTTCCGTCAATAATACTAGCAAAAAAATAAAAATGAAAATAAATTTCAATTTTATTCCTAAAATATGAGTATAACCCATTATGATAGTGAAGATATAGCAATAATACATAAACTAGTCAAATCCCATTTTAAAATTTTAACCTTAGGAAACTTTCTTTCCTAGATGAAACTAGATCACTTTCTTTCTTTCTTTCTTTTGTTTTTTTGTTTTTTTGTTTTTTTTTTTTAATCTTGAGGAAAGAACCTTAATTTCCTAGATGAAAGGAAAGTTGCATGATTGGGCTGCCTATATAAGATTAGTAAACAGCCTTCCCTAGATGAAAGGAAAATTGCATTTTTTAGGTACTTATTAAAAGTATTCCTTAGAAAATCTAGTCAAAGATGACCGGAAAAGAAAAACTCCAAATACATTATCAATAATAATAATAAAAAAAACAAATATGCATCTAATATGAATTTTTCTAGGATTTATCTTTCAAGTTTTCCTTCTTTAGTGCACCGAGATTTGAAATGTTTGAGAGTGTTTTTAGAAATAAATTGTATTAAATATAAGTAGGCATAAAGATTGTCTATAGGTAATTTTTTTCAGTAAAGTAAAAGCCCATGAACCTCCAAAAAAAAAAAAAAAATCAATTGTATTTTATTCTCGAAAAATGAGTAGAACCCATTATGATTTTTTTTTTGGTTCAATAGTAAAGATATTTTTGGATCAGATTTCGTACACCTAGTTACTAATTCTTGCTTGGATGTGGCCCATGGACCTCTCAATAAAAAAAAAAAATTGTATTGAGGCTTATATATTGTCTCAATTTTATTTGACACTTTCATTAATTATTATTTCAATTTCCTTTTCTCTTCATTTCCATCAATAATATTAGCAAAAAATAAAGATAAATTTCAATTTCAATTTCATTCCTAAAATATGAGTAGAACCCATCATGATATTGAAAATGTAGCAATAATACATAAACTAGTCAAATCCCATTTAAAAATTTTAAGCTTAGGACTTTCTTTCCTAGATGAAACTAGACTTCTTCTTCTTTTTTTTTTTTTTTATTTTTATCTATCTATCTTGAGGAAAGAACCTTTCCTAGATGAACGGAAAGTTGCATGATCGGGCTACCTATATAAAATTTTCCATAGAAAATCTAGTAAAAAATGACTGGAAAAGAAAATCTCAAAGTACAGTATCAAAATAATAATAATAAAAAAAAAATCAAAGTCAAATATACAACTATTATAAATCCAACTTAAAAACACAAGTAGAACTCATGAGATTGAAGGCATAGCAATAAGACAGAAAATAGCCATGGAAAACACTCATCTATACGCACTCTTAGGCTTTTTCATCCTTCTTGCCCTTAAGTTCTTGCTACCAACAAGAACAAAGCTCAAAAATCTTCCACCAAGCCCACCAGCTATACCAATTCTCGGCCATCTTCATCTTCTCAAACAACCAATCCATCGCACTCTCGAGAATCTCTCAAGAAAATATGGCCCTATTGTGTTTCTTCGATTCGGTTGCCGCAACGTAATCCTCGTATCTTCCCCATCCCTTGCGGAAGAATGCTTCACCAAGAACGACATTACCTTCGCCAACCGCCCTCCCTTTTTAAATGGCAAGCACTTGCATTACAACTTCACCACACTTGCTTCAGCCAACTATGGTGATCATTGGCGCAACCTTCGACGCATATGTACACTTGAAATCTTCTCATCGTCTCGTCTCAACTCGTTTTCGAGCATCCGAAGAGACGAAATCAAGCGATTAGCATGCAGAATTCATAAAGTTTCTAGCCATGGTTTCGCTAAGGTAGAGTTAAGGTCCATGTTAATCGACCTGATGTTTAATATCATAATGAGAATGATTGCAGGAAAACGGTATTACGGTGAAGATGTGAAGTTAACCGAGGAGGGAAACAAGTTTAAAGAAACCATGCAAGAGTATTCGGATCTCAGCGGGTTGACAAATCTAGCAGATGTGTTTCCCAGTCTTCAATGTGTTGATTATAATGGATTTGTGAAGAAGTGTGTTGGGCTCAGTAAGAGGATGGATTTGATCATGCAAGGACTTATCGATGAGCATCGACGAGAAAAGGATCGAAACACCATGATCAACCATTTGCTTACTTTACAGGAATCTCAACCTGAATACTATACTGAAGACGTGATTAAAGGACTCATTCTGGTAATTACCTAAGTCTCAAATTTCATTTGATTTAATTAAGGCATGCATGAGTCTATATAATTCAGTCTATGATTCTTTTGCAGATAATGTTGCTTGCTGGGACAAGAACCGTTACTACATCTTTAGAATGGGCAGTTTGCAATCTATTGAAGCATCCAGAAGCGATAAAGAAAGCAAGAGAAGAATTGGACACTAAAATTGGTCAAGACCGCTTAGTAGATGAATCAGATACTTCGAAACTAAACTACCTTCAAAATATCATCCTTGAGAACTTGCGATTATATCCGGTTATTCCACTGCTAGCACCACATATGTCATCTGCAGATTGCAGCGTTGGAGGATATGATGTGCCTGCTGGCACCATTTTGTTTACAAATGTGTGGGCTATTCAGAGAGATCCTGCTTTGTGGGATGACCCAACAAGTTTTAAGCCTGAGAGGTTTGAAAATTGGAAATCTGAAGCATACACTAATATGCCATTTGGAATGGGAAGGAGAGCTTGTCCTGGGGAAGGGTTTGCAAGGAGAGTAGTGGCCACGACATTAGGTTTGTTAATTCAATGCTTCGAGTGGCAGAAGGTTGATGGAAAGGAAATCGACATGACTGAGAAGATGCACACACTTATGTGCAGAGATGAACCATTGGAGGCCATGTGTAGGGTGCGCCCAAACATGGCCGATCTTCTTTCTTAACATGTGTAATACGCAATGGAAAAATACAATTTCCTGATGTATCTAATAATTTATCGTAAGTATATAAATAAGAAGTTGCTAATTTGTTCCTTGTTTGAACAAGTTGGCTGACTACCTTTTGCCCTTTTCAAATTTGTAGAAAAAGAACAAAGGCTCAAGTAGAAAAAAAAAGCTCTATTGATATTTTATGTACTTTTCTCGTAAAATTTTCAAACTAAACAATCGCAATTAATTATATAATTTTTACATAAAAACCTTCTATTTAACTGACTTGTAAGAATATTTTGCAAATAAAAATTAATCATGTGCAAATTAAGTAAATAATTTAGATAGTTTAGTTTGAAAATCTTGAAAAAAGAATATATTAGAAACTTAAACTTATAATTGAATCAATTAACGATTAAAAGATAAACAGAAAAATTATTTTATTACATAGGAATAGATTGAGCTATTAAATCTTTTACATTTCTGATGGTTAATTGTTAGTTTAACGAATAGACCTCGGTTTAGAACTCCCAAAAAAAAAAAAAAACTGCAAGCATTGTTCAAGTACTGAAACTGAAAGGTTGTCTCAACTGATAACAAGGTGGACAGGACCGGGAGGCACAAACTGGGGCATTTTCTGAAGAGAATCGCAAGCTTAGTCATCTCAATTTATTGTCAGATGTAAAGGAATTAACAATCTGAAAACTAGGTTTAAAGTTAATCTGAAGTGGATATCAGCTTCTGAAAGGTTAGTCTGATCTGGTGTTCTGAAAGCTAGTATCTGACTTGTAAACCAGCCAAGGTGTTTAATGAACTGGGAATTAGAAGTATGAAATCGTCCACCCCTTTTCAATCAATGATACCTGCATCGACATACCATGGACAAGAATTGAAATGAAAGTAATGGCTGCAGAGTGCTGATATCCAAGGAGTTACAAGTCCAAGTCCACAAGATTTGTTGATTCTGACAGCAAAAGGAAGGTATGACAGATGATGGTGAACATCAGACTCTATTCCAGAGTCTGTAATGATTCAGGAACAAGCAGAAAAAGAAGAGGTTGGTCCTAGTTTATCGTTGTCAAGTAGCCTATTACTATGTTAGTCTGGTATCTCTGAACAAAAAGGTGTGTTAACGATTAAGAAGCATGTTTAAGGAACTAATGCTATCTGTATATTTAGCCACCTTTCTGCTTCTGAAATTATGTACCGTCTTGTAACAGTATGCAGTAGTAAATCTGCTACTCCTAATGGAATCTTACGGGTATGAGTTTCGAATTCCATTGCTTGAGATACATGTATGAGATGATATCTTGCAGTAACTACTGGCCGAATTGTTGAACATTCCCCGTCCATGGCCAACCAGGATGCATCTGCTTGGCCATATGTTCCATCTCAGGAAGCCTGTTGTTGATGGCAGCTGGATTATTGTTCGCACCTACATTAGAACCCGAAAAGAAAAGACATTACCGACATAGCAATGGAATTAAAAAATAATCATTGTCCAGAGTATTTCCAAGTTTTACAATCATATATAAAACAAAGCAGCAGTTTGCCTGAAGTTATTATGATTTCGGAAGACGTGTGTGATTTACCTGGATTTGGCATTGTAGAGCACCTATAAGTTTGTTTACAATTGTTCAGAGGAGAAGTTTTCATTTGGCTTGACCCTTGAGAAAAAAGTTTTACAAACATGTATAAAACAAAACAGCAGTTTGCTTGAAGTTCTTATGATTTCAGAAGAGGTGTATGATTTACCTGGATTTGGCATTGTAGAGCACCTATAAGTTTGTTGACAATTGTTCAGAGGAGAAGTTTGCATTTGGCTTGGCCCTTGAGAATAAGAAGCCGTTCCGTTGATGGGGGGATAAGATGGTCCCCTTGGCAATCCATTTACTTGGTGAGGAAATTCAACAGGAACTAGGATCTGCCGGGACAAAGGTTGCGTAGCCGGAATGTCAAAGCTGGTTGACGCAGCATATGGGTCCAGGAAACAATTGGGAAGCACATATACAGGAATACAGCTGATAGGAGGATGATTATAGGAATGGTTCTTCGAATGGGGCTTGAATTTACTCTTACGAGCTTTTTGAGAGTCTGAAGGACGGAATGACAAGCTGCCATGGTTTGTCTGAGAATGATGGTATTGTGGGAAACATTGCCTAACCTGCAGATTGCCATGAGAAGTTTCTGAGCCATTTTTATTGTCAGAACCAGAAAAGGTAGTGGGAACTTCCAAGCTGGATCGAGAGCTTTCATCTAAGCGGAGATTTAAAGCAGCTAGCACTTGAGAAACATTGCCCGGCATTCTTGAACTACAAGCAAACAGATCAGTTTCAGTCACCGTACTTTCAGGAAATAATACGAAGTCCATCGGTAGTTTGAAGTCATCAGAAGTAATCAAACTGTCCTCATCAGGCAAACAAATTTCTTCAATTGCATTAGGTTTCCCATCAAAGTCACTGACAGTATTGAGCTCTAATTCTTGTTCAAGGAGGTCTATCCCTGTCCTAGTATGATCATCAGAGACTAACTGAAGACTTGAGACCTCGTGTTTGCAAGGCTTTTTGTTGGATTTTGTTTCAAAATTTTGCTCTGGAGATTTGCTCATCAGCTTATGGGGTAGCATTTTGCTGAGTATAAAACTCTGCATGGAAGAATAGGGCCCTGCATCATTTGGATTTGAGGACACTGCGCATTCCTCTGATTCATTGCACTTGTTGAGACAACCCCGAGCAGGGGGTAACAGTTTGTTGATAATGGTTCTTGGTATGGAAGAACGAGGCCTTGCATCATTTGGTGTTGACGGTAGCATACGTTCCTCTGATTGACTGCACTTGTTGAAAAGCCTCTTCTCATTTCTGGAATCATCCAGGAGTGAGGAAACATCTGGGTCCAAGTTTTCTTTGTGCTCACCTGCAATATTCTTTTGGTTCACTTGAACAGCATTTTCATGTCCCTTCCTTGTCCATTCAGATGAACCTGAGAAAAGCTCATTAGAAGGAACCACAATCATGAAATGAAAAGAAGAAAATCCACGACATGGAAAAGCATAAGAAGAATAAGTTACCTCTTCCCCTTCTTTCAACTTCTGCACTCTCATGACTTGGACACCCCATGAACCCAAACGTTTCGCCATTTTTTGCATCTTTATTCTCTCTCCCTGAATGAAGGTTCATCTGAAACAGAAGCACGATTTGATTTTCACCAGATACCAGAACCAGACGTCACTCTTTCAATTTATTATTCATCTTGCAAACCATAAAATTAAAATGCAATTAGCAGTATATTGCCTTTCCATCATTGGAAAGTCAGGTTGATCCATCAGCAATGAATAAAAGTGTAAAGCAAAAAGCATGCCTTATAAAGGTGTGGAGGCCGATATGGTGCAATATTTTTGTTGAGCAGATTACAGCTTTGAATTTTTTGAGCAGATGACCCAGTTACACATACAGGTGCTCTTAGAAGACCCCTCTTTCCCAGAAGTCCATTTGAAGGATTCTGCCATGCAGGATTCTGTCGTAGCAGTCCATTAGCAGGACTTACCCATGAATGTAGAGATTGAATGCCATCCCTTCTGCCAGACTCTGCATTACGATACGAATCATTCATCATTGCACCAAATTCAACTCAACCTCAGCTTTAATTTAGTAGCCACCCACAAAACTGGCAATTAAATGCAATAACACCCATATAGAAGAAATGCAGATGTAAGGCTGACCAAACATAGAACTTCCTTTGAACCTTAACAAGTCAGGTCTCCAACATGAATTCGAAAAGACTTCATATCAAATGACATCAAGCAGTAATTACTAATCTTCACTCATGCATTAGCATATATCATAATCCAGACTATATAAATGAGCTTTAACCAACAAATCCATGGTCTCAAACAGATATCCTCACACATTGCTGTTATAGTATGTTAGCATAATTTGATCCTCTTGTTTTTGAAATTAGTTATTAACAGCAAACACAAATGCATTATATATCACAAGAAGCCCCTTTCATCCATTTCACAATTCAAAGCCGTTAAGATGTTAATGCCAAGAAAAACACACAATTTACCATGAAAGCACAACAAATCATCTCTTTAATCACATACCGGAATCATTACACGAATCTGATGATCTAGTAGCTGCTGCAGCATTGAGTTCACTGAGTGACGAAAACACAAATGATTCAGCAATCAAATCAAGTTATTAAGAGCAATAATAGCAAAGACAAACAAGAGGATCAAATTAGGCTAACATACCATAAAATTGATGAATCAAACCCACTTGGCAACCTCTTGCATTCATCCATTTCAGCTAATGATAAAAGAAACCCTCTCTTATATGCATATCTTGTTTCTCTGTTTAACAAAAAACACAAACACAGAAGATCATTTATAAGACATAAATAACAAACAATAATACCCTATTTGCTTGCTAAAACTCGCAAGAATTATTTCACTTTCCTCTACATTTCTTTCACTTCCTCAGCAACCAAACACAAACACAGAAGATCATTTATAAAACATATATAACAAACAATAATACCCTATTTGGTTGCTAAAACTCGCAAGAATTATTTCACTTTCCTCTACATTTCTTTCACTTCCTCAGCAACCAAACACAAACACCACTTCATAAACACACCTTGTTTTGCTACTACAAACAATTTCATAAAACACTAACAAAATTTCATTTTCCTCTAATTTTCCTTCACTTTCTCACCAACCAAACACAAACACTACTTCATAAACACACCATGTTTTGGTACTGCTAACAATTTCATAAAACACTAACAAAAGTTCATTTTCCTCTAAGTTTCCTTCACTTTCTCATCAACCAAACACAAATTAACGCTACTTCATTAACTCACCACACACAGAAGACCTGGACTGATCACTAATAACAAATTCCTAAAACACTTAACAAAAATTGATTTTTCTCTAATTTCTTTCATTTTCTCAGCAATCAAACACAAACACTACTTCACTAACCCACCACACAAATAGCAGCACTCTGTTTAGTCACTACTAACAACACATAAAAACAACAAAAACTTTAAGGAAAAAAAATCATTTTTCTTCACTTTTCCTTCATTTTCTCAGCAATCAAACAGCATTTAACAACCAAAAAAAAAAAAAAAAAAAACAGAGTAAATAAAAGTACTCGTGGAATTCTTCATCATCATCTGATCTTGATTTTGCAACGTCCTCACTTTCTGTACTCATTTTCTCAAAAAGAAAACTATTAAACTACAAAATGTGACTTAAAATCCAAAAAATCAAATCAAAATTAAATTTCTTTCTTGTTTTTGATTAGGAGACCCTAAGTAACATCAAATGGAGTGCCATTTTATCAACACACTGAAGTCAGTAATTTTAAAATTCAAAAGCGAAGATGAAATTTCTTCTAGAGAGGAAATCTTCAAGGAAAATAGGATGATTTTTTTTTTCTGAAGGCATGAAAAGTGTGTTTGGATGCAGAGAAAAATTCATGAAGGAAAACATACAAAGGAAGAAAACTTGCAGCACAAGTACTTACGACTGACAGATACAGTGCCAGTCTGTTACGAGAAAGGATTTACTACACCCGGTAGCAGAGTATTTATAGAAACGAGTGACGTTTCATATTTTGATTGGGTGGATTATGATGTGGCAGGTTATGATTGGGTAGGTGTAGATAGAGATATGCAAGGTTACTACAGGGAGGAAAGGGTAAGGATGTAATAAATGTGGGGTGGGTTAGTTTTACATGAGTCAGAAAACACATGGATTTTGTGGACAAATATCCCGACCAATTATTTTTGGATTAAGAAAAAGTGAGAATATTAATTAGTTGGTCAAATTAATGATGATACTAATTAAGTTAGTAATAAATATGATAAATACTTTGTCCGTTCTAACAAGAATGTCAATCTATCTTGTAAGAGATTTACAACTCATATGAAAGTATTTTAAAAAATTACAAAAAATGATATAATAATTAATTTTTTTAATATATATATATATATATATATATATATTCAAATATGATAGTGTTTTGGTAAAAATTTTATAATACTCAAAAAGTAATTAGTATAAATTACTTCATAGAGAGAGATAAACAAAAAAAAAAGAGAAAATTAAAAAAAAAATTGAGCCAGCATGAAATTTTTTTTTATCATTTTTAATGGATTTAGATATAATTTTTTTTTTAATATATCTATCTCTTTTCTTATATATACTAATTACTCTTTGAGTATTATAAAATTTTTCGTGTTTTGGAACAAAATGATGGTATACAAAGTGTTTTTTTTATAGAAAAAAGGTGTAATTCTTGTTTTTTTTTTAATAGATGAATTGGAAAATGGGTTATGAACAAGATATATATAGGTCCTATGAACATAATGTGGAGTAAATTATAAATTAGTTCTTATAGTTTAGAGAAATAAATTAATTAGTTTTCTTCATTTTAAAAATTAATTATTTAGTTTTGTATTTCATCAAGTTTTGGTTAGATAAATAATTTTTATTTTCAAATCATTCTTGGTTTTCGATTAAGGAGAGAGAAATGGAGTGATGAAGAAAAGAAATAAAACATAAAAAACGATGAAAAAAAACACTAATTTAATAAAATTAATAAAATGACGAAATTAAAATTTAAGAAACCAAATAGTTAGTTTATAATATGAAAAAAATAAACCAATTAATTTGTTTCTCGATACGACGTAGACTAATTTATAATTTAGTCACATAATGTGTCGTATTGAGAGTTCTAAACATACTATTTGCTTCATATTTTCGTTGATGAAATATTGGGGATAGAGATATTAATTGATGTGATGGGACATCTTTATCAAGGAAAGTTTCCAAGAAATAATGGTAAGATGTATGTAAATGGATAGGCAAATGGACCGGCGAAGAACTAAAAAATTCACCCTTTTTGTTTTGCAAGAGTATCATAGAGCTATAAACCAGGTGGCATCAATAATTACAAGGCACTAGCCAATAATGAATCATGCACACATATTGCAATTTGTCACATCACTTGGTAAGCAAGTTGCTGAAAAAACTCATAAAATTTCTAGCAACTTTTTAACTTTATATAATGACTGAACCATTCCAAACTTCTCTTCCTTCGTTAAAATGGCATCCCATGACCTTTTGTTGTTCATTTCATTGCATTTAAAATCTTCATTGCATGAGAGTTAGAGGTGTTAATAACCGTACACGTATAAGTCGAGTTCATAATTTAATTCTTATGTCTAATATGTTTTAAAATTTATTTTTAAAATATTTAAAATCATATAGTAGAGAGTATTTTTTAATCACGTTAAAAAAATAATTAATCTTAAGTATGCGAAAATTGATCCAAAAACACTCTTACTTGTTGAACTTAAAAAAGAAGAAGAAGAGGTGTTGATATTTTTATATATGTATAACTCGTTATTTAAAGCACCTTTATTCCAAATTAAATTGTAAAATATTAGAAATTTGTAGTTAAAATAACAAAACGTGGAGTATAATAGGACATGATCTAACGATAAGAGAATTATTTGGTTTGACCAAGACCAAAGTTTAATTTTCACTATTTATAAATAAATAATCATAATTATTCTTTAATAGTATTAGAAAATAGTGAATTTAGTCCGAGTTATAGAACAATGGGTTGATCGTTTCCTTTGAGTTATAACTTAGTCTATAAAGTTTGTTGAAATAAATTAATTGATCATTGTAGTAAAGGAAATAAAAAATTAACTAGTCCCTCAACTAGTATGACCATACTTTATTTAGTATTATTTTGTTCCAAAAATATCTTTTTTTTTTCTATTTCTAAAAAAAGAAGAAGTATGAAATGGATGAGAAAAATGAGTTATAAATGAATCTTAAAACATAGGATTTAAATATTTAGTTTATGAAACCTCAAGGAATGATTAATTAGCTTTGCTAAATATAGGTATAGTTAACTCATCTCTTTTTTCGTAAAAATAAAATAAACACTTGATTTAACTAGTCCAACTAATTGAATTTTTTCGAGTTTAATCAATTTTGAGCAAATCCCTTGTGTATCTAATTTGTAATTTCAACTAGATCGATTAAATAGTTAGGTCAATGGTTTTTTTGATTCCATTGGCTAATCTGGTGTAGATTCAATAACATTTTCTTAAAAAATAAATAAAATTTTAAAAAAAATATTACTAAATTCATCGGGCAAATTATTGTTCTCACCATTTTTTTAGAAAATTATTAATACATCTTGCATCAATTGTAAATAACTATTATATAATAAATATTAATGAAATTTTTATTAATAATTTTTTAGAATAAATTGTTGAAAATAATAATTTAATTAGTGAATTAATCAATATCTTTTCAATAATAGTCTAACCAATAAGAAAGAAGGGGAAAAAAAAGCTATCAGAGGGGGTTTCCATGGAAAAGGAAGAGATTAAAATTGGACTCCTAATAAGCCCATAAAAGGCCCACATCAAAACTAATCTCAAACCACATCAAAATTAATCTCAAACAAAATCGGGTTACTGGTTTACCAAGCCCAGAACCAAACCCATATATAATAACACTATCATTTTCTCTAGGGTTTTGAAGTCCCCATGCATCCTATCTAAAGAGCTTCTCATCTCCGCAGCAGCTGCAGCAAAGAAAAAGGGGCTTACAGTTTAGCAATCATGGTAATCCCTTCTCTTTCTCTATGTCTTCCTCTCAATATCTGGACACAAAGGTACTAACTGTTTTGGTGCTGTCTCTCTCTCTTTTCAGATTATTTCAGAGAAGAACAGAAGAGAAATCTCCAAGTACCTCTTTCAAGGTATTATTGTTTCTTATGCTGTTTTTTTATGCTTCAGGTCCATTTTTAGTTACCTAGGAATGAAACCCATGAAAGATTTTTTGTTATTTTAAAGGTTTTTCGGATGTTAACTTCCAGTTGTTGGTTTTAAAGAACTAGGGTTACGAATAATTTCAGTTAGTTTCTTCACATCTTGTGATTCTGCAAAGCTGATTTGTGTAGGCCTCTTCTGTGTGTATTGGGGTTGGTGGTAAAGCTTGAATTAAGAACATTGCGTTCTGCAATGATTCTAAAATGGATGACAACTTAGTTAGAAAAGCTATGATGCACTTGTTTTTTTTTTTGGCGTTTGTTACAGGGTAAATCTCTTTTTCTCCAAAGGAATAGCCTTTTGCTCTTCTTTTTCTTATAGCATTGACAGTTCAAGTAAAAATGCAACCATTATTATCATCCGTAAGCTAATTATTTCTCTTTTAGGGGTAGGTTTTAATGGGTTTTTGTTAGAGATTTTGTAGTTACGTCAAACCATTGATACGGAAAATCAAGTTGAAGCCTTTTGATCTGTTCCACGGAGAACTTAGAATGCACCCCGGCCACTAATGATCTGTCAACATCAGGGAAATTTCACTAGAGGGATTGTTGTGCTGGTTATGTGAAACTGCAGCTTTGTTTCTTTCTGTTTTAGTTTTTTATTTCCAATATCTGGAATCGGAAATTAGACTATGCTGAATATCTTTGTCAATTTTATTTGTTCTTTGCCTGTTTTGTTTATTTTGATATGATCCGCTAAGTTGAATAATGAAGTTTTCTTATTTTTTCAAGTTAACTAAATGAGACTAATGAGGTTTAGCCTAATCACATACCATGTTACCTGCTTTTGCTTATCATAATTTTGTCTTGAATCTGTAGAGGGAGTTTGCTATGCAAAAAAAGATTACAACCTTGCAAAGCACCCGGAGATTGATGTTCCCAATCTCCAGGTTATTAAGCTCATGCAGAGCTTCAAATCCAAGGAATATGTTCGTGAAACATTTGCATGGATGTACTACTATTGGTATCTTACCAATGATGGGATTGAGTTTTTGAGGACTTACCTGAATCTTCCATCAGAAATTGTTCCTGCTACCTTGAAGAAACAGGCAAAGCCTGGTGGTCGCCCGTTTGGTGGCCCACCTGGTGACCGTCCTCGGTAATTAAGACTATGTTGACCGTTTGCTGAGTGTTCTCCACATCCTTTCTCTGATTGTTTAGAATATACTAATTGACATGTGGTGTTTGTTTGGGTTTCTAGAGGTCCACCTCGTTTTGATGGAGACCGTCCAAGATTTGGTGACCGTGATGGTTATCGTGGGGGCCCCCGAGGGGGTGAAGCTGGTGAGAAGGGAGGAGCTCCCGCAGATTACCAGCCTGCATTTAGGGTAATTTCAATCTAATACAATTACCGTCCATTTAACACTGATTAGGGACTACCACCACGATATTTTCTTTTATTTTTATTTCTAATTCTATTTGATGTTTGGATCTCGCAGGGATCTGGTGGAAGGCCTGGCTTTGGTCGTGGAGGAGGAGGTTATGGTGGTGCTCAATCTAGTTCTACTGGCTTTGCTTGAAGGTGTCGTTAGTCTTTTTACAGTTTTGTTGTTTTTACTAAATGTAGTTGTTCAGAGTTATGGAATTCATTTTGTGCTCTTGTTCAACTCTCTTAGCAATTTGCAAACTCAAGACTAGAATACCAAGCCTGTTTTGAAGTAATTGTTGTTTAAGTTTGCTATTTGATGAAATGGAACTCAGGTTTTTCTACTTTTACCATTTTTTCAGTTCTTAATTTGTTGTGGTTATTTCCTCATCCTGAGGGAACCATGAATTGCAAGTGTGATTTGCCTATTATATGCCTTAGGTATGCAAGCATAACCTTAGTTTATGATTCTTATTGCATCCTTCGACTCAACCTCTCCTATCACGATCTTGAATAACCAGATCAAGGGTCTATCTGTGCTAGTGCTTAAGCTAAGCAACCAGCAGACAAAGGCTGTAGATTAGTTTACAACTTAGGTTGAAACTGTACATTAGATTAGCTGATTTAGAAAAAAGTTTACCTTTCCCGTATTTTCTAAATCCCAGCTCCTGTTTCTGGGATGTTAACCATGTCCCGGCAAGCTTCTTTAACTAGCTAACTTGAAGTTTGAGGTCACGATAATATCAGTAGGGGTGTTCATTTGGTTATTCGGTTCGTATTTGAAATATTTTGAACGGTTTTTGATTAATTGAATTTTTTTATAAAAAAACTGGAATGTTATTTGGTTTATCGATTCGGTTTCGAAATATTTTGATTTTAGTGTTTGGTAATTCGATTCTTATTTATTTTATTTTTTCTATAAATAATTGGTTCTATTAAAGTTTCTGAAATCTTTCTTTAGAGTGAGTTTTTTTCTGTTTTGTAGACTACTAGTTAGGAAACTAAGTTGCGTCTGAAAAAAAAAAAAGCAAATGGTTTTATAAATTAATAAATAATAGATTGTTTACTCAAGAAGGTTCGAATTGAAGATGATAAAAAATCTATCAATATTTTTTTTTAAGTACATATAAACTTATTTTGTATACATCCAAACTTGTAATAATGAAAAAGAGAGCATGTCATGAAGTTGTGGAAGGAGGCGTATTCAGGAGAAGGGTTTTTTAATATATATATATATATATATATATATATATATATATATATATATTAAGTTAGATCACTCCAAATTTAAATCTCTTTGAAAATCAGTTCATGAATTTTTAATTTCAAGTTTTTTTGAATTCGACCTTTGCTAAACTTTATTTTTCAAAAGATTTAATCCATTTTTAGCTTTTTAAAAAATAAAAACAGATTCATAAATAGAATCATGTAGGAAGTCGCTCAACATAATTTTACATAGCAAACGATCGCAAATCATAACGTAATATAATATTAAAATAATGATAATGATAGCAATAATGAATGATAAGTTACTATCATAGCAAAATAATGATAATAATAATATGTTCCGAAAGTGTTATGTTATTTTAAAAACTATGGATCCTAAAGATATTTTTGGATGAAGTAGCAGAATCTATTGATTTTGCAACCAGAATACAGATAGATAGAAAGCTATTTGCAGACACCCAGCATGACCTCAAAACAAAGACACAGACTCTGAGACGCTTTAAATACTATCTCTCTCAGGTGACAAACACAGACACATGCCTCAGACCTACAGAACCAGACCAATTAACAAGTATTATCAACAGTAAAAGATTAAACCAAAAACTTTCGGAGCTCAGTCCACCTCCTCCATCTTGCTCTCCTCAGCACCATCTTCCTCCAAAGCAGGCATGTCAGCATCTTCATCAGCAGTCTCACCCTCATCAATGCTAAGGCCCAGTTTCAACATCCTGTGAATCCTTGCAGCGAACGTGTTCGGCTCATCAAGGCTGAAGCCAGAGGTCAAGAGGGCAGTTTCGAACAGCAGCAACACAAGATCCTTGACAGACTTGTCGTTCTTGTCAGCTTCAGCTCTCTTCCTCAACTCCTCCATGATGCCATTGTCAGGGTTGATTTCCATGGTCTTCTTGCTTGACATGTAAGAGCTCATGCTGCTGTCCCTCAGTGCCTGAGCCTTCATGATCCTCTCCATGTTAGCTGTCCAGCCATACTCTCCGGTCACCAAGCAGCATGGAGAGTCCACAATCCTGTCAGACACAACCACCTTCTCAACTCTGTCTCCCAGAATGTCCTTGATGATCTTGCAGAGGTTCTCAAAGGACTTCTTTTTCTCTTCCCTTTTCTTCTTCTCTTCCTCGGTCTCATCATCAAGTTTTAGTCCTTCCTTTGTAGCAGAAACCAGCTTCTTTCCATCGTACTCCTTCAATTGGCCGACAGCGTACTCGTCGATGGCATCGACCATGAAGAGCACCTCATAGCCCCTCTTCTTGAGCCTCTCGAGGAACGGCGAGTTCTCCACCGCCTTCTTGCTTTCACCAGTAATGTAGTAGATGTCCTTCTGGCCCTCCTTCATTCTGGTGACGTAGTCCTTCAAGCTCGTCATCTCGTCGCCGCTCTTGGTTGAATGGTAGCGGAGCAAATCGGCCAATTTGGCTCTGTTCTGGCTGTCTTCATGGATGCCTAATTTCAAGTTCTTCGAGAAAGCATCATAGAACTTCTGGTAGTCCTCCTTGTTCTCTGCAATCTCATTGAACATCTCAATGCATTTCTTCACTAGGTTCTTTCTGATGACCTTGAGAATCTTATTCTGTTGAAGCATCTCACGGGAGATGTTGAGCGGCAAATCATCAGAATCAACAACACCCTTGATAAATCCGAGGTACTCAGGGATAAGCTCCTCACAATTGTCCATAATGAAGACCCTCCTGACATAAAGCTTGATGTTGTTCATCTTCTTCCGAGTATCAAACAAATCAAATGGAGCTCTCTTCGGCACAAAGAGGATAGCCTTAAATTCAAGCTGACCCTCAACAGAGAAGTGTTTGACAGCCAAATGATCCTCCCAATCATTGGTCAAGCTCTTATAGAAAGAGGCATACTCCTCCTTGGTGATCTCCTCAGGCTTGCGTAGCCAGATAGGTTTCTGCTTGTTAAGGAGCTGCCACTCATGAGAAACCTCCTTAATCTTCTTCTTCTTGGATTTAGTTTCCTTCTCCTCTTCAACTTCTTCCACATCGCCCTCCTCTTCCTTCTTTGGTTCGTCATCCTCATCATCACTAATCTCTTTCTCAGTCGTTTTCTCAGTCCACAGATAGATGGGATAGCTGATGAACTCAGAGTGCTTTTTCACAAGATCCTTAATCCTCCTCTCCTCCAAGTACTCAAGCTACAAATCACATAAACAGAAAAACAAGAAGTCAGAAACCCTCGTCTAATCAAACACTAGCAAGCTAACAACAACATTATTAATCCACAAAAACATCTGATCAACGGTATCAATAGGCTTTCTTTACCTGATCCTCCTTGAGGAAGAGGGTAATCTTAGTACCCCTACCAAGTTGCTCTCCATTAACATCCCTTGTAACAGTGAAAGAACCACCAGCTTGTGACTCCCAAACATATTGTTCATCATCATTATGTTTAGTAGTCACAACAACCCTCTCTGCAACAAGATAAGCCGAGTAAAACCCCACACCAAATTGTCCAATCATACTCACATCAGCCCCAGCCTGCAATGCCTCCATGAACTCCTTAGTCCCCGATCTCGCAATTGTTCCCAAATTATTCACCAAATCTACAATTCACAGAGTAAGAAACATAAGTCTTCCCAAATCATATAAATCAAATCAAATATCTCTAACCCTATCACCATACCATACCAAAACCAAATATCACTCTTTACTCTAAATTACAAATTTTGCTTGGCCAAAATAGTGATTTTTGAAAAAAAAAAAGGTAACAAAAAAAAAAAAAGAAAAATGAAAATCTTGGGATTAGAAACAAAATTTGCATAAAAAGGATCAGAATTAGAATTAAGAAACAAAATTTGCATAGGCCCAGAAAATTATTTTCAAAGAAAAATCTTGGGTTAAAGTGATTATTAAGTACCTGCTTTGGTCATGCCAACACCACTGTCAATGATGGATAAAGAGTTGTTAGTTTTATCAGGTACAATCCTGATGAACAACTCGGGTTGAGCATCAAGCTTGCTCTTATCCGTCAGGCTCTCGAATCTAATCTTATCCAACGCCTACACGGAACCCAAATTACCACCATCAGTACCATTTAAATCAAGAAACCAACGAATTAGGCAAAAAAGAGAGAAAAAACATAGAACGTACATCAGAAGCATTGCTGATGATTTCACGAATGAAGATTTCTTTGTTGGAATAGAAGGTATTGATGATCAAGCTCAAAAGCTGGTTGATCTCTGCTTGGAAGGCAAAGGTTTCTGCATCCCCCATTTGCACGTCTGCCATGATCTTCAACACGTCTCTTCTCTTCACAACACCAGAAAAAGGAAACAACACCGGCAAAAAAGCAGATCAACACAGGAAAAAGCGTACAGCACGGGCAAAAAAACAGTGCGATATCTATGATGGAATTTGCAGCAATTTTTCTTGATTTAAGAGAGTTACTTTGCTCAGGGTTTTTATACTGGTTGATGGGGTTCTTCTAGGTTGTTCTTCGTCTGGATTGTTCGGGGAAACGACGACGTAAAAGGGAAGGATTGGATGGTTTTGGAGGGAAGTTTGGAAGGTTCTGGTTGGTTAAAGATGTCTGGAATGTTCTTTTCCCCTTTTTAAATTTTTGTTGACTGTGGACGTACTCTTTTCTAGGTGTTTTTTGTACTTAATGTTTTGAGATGTTGCATTTTAGTCCTGGAATTTCTATGATTTCAATAAGTTCCCGAATTCTTTTTTTGAATTTTAACATTGCAGAATAAAAAAAAAAACCATAAAATAATAATTATAAAGTTTTTTAGAAAGATGGTATTCAATTTTTAGTTTTAATCAACACTGAAATTCTATAAACCATATCGAAACTAGAAATTTCAATAAAAATTCTAAGCAAAATACTCTACAAAATGATTCTTCAATTCAAATCTCTCTCATTGTTGTTTTTTCAGTCATGTTTGAATTAACCGGGTAAATTATAAATTATTTTTTTTTCAAATTTTATAGAACAAATTAAATTATCCATTTTGTTTTAAAAACTAATTAATTAATCCTTTGATAAGTGTTGAATATAATTAATTTAATATTATTTTGTTTCAAAAAATGTCTTATTCTCTTATCATTCTTTCCATATTATTCACTTATTATTAAAAAAAAAATGAAAAAGAGCAAAAATAAAATAAAATCAAGTTACAAATAAATTTAAAAACATAAGAATTAATTAATTAGTTTTTTTAAATACAACTTATTTTATTCTACAAAACCAGAAGATTTAATTTATAATTTACTCAAATAACTAATTATGAAAAATAAATAAATAAATAAAATTAATCCAATTCTGACCAGAGATTAGGATTCCCTAACTTTGTCTACTTTTCTTTGTTCGGACAATCTCTGCAGAGCGGAAGCAAAGTTGACGCAGGAGCTTCTGACCGGAGACTCAGATCTGCTAACTTTATCTACTCTTCTTTGCTTAGACAATCCCTCCAGAACAGAAGTATACCGACGTTTAAGTAGTCTCTTACCAGAGATAATTCTACCCCTCCCCTCTCCTTTGACGCAGAAGCTTCTTACCAGAGATTCGGATTCCCTAACTTAGCTCTGTTAGTGTTAGGCTCTATCTGCGCTAATGCAAATTCGACAATGGCTGCAAATTAATGTGTTTTAATCATATGTGGTTATGTCATGAAAATCTGGCCATGCCATTTGGAGTGCCAACTAATCACATTGGTAGGCACACGCAGCTCAAAAACACAGCTAGATTGAAACTTACTATGTTTCATTTTGATGCCATCCTCAGTTACAGAAGCAACAACTAAGGTTTGTTCAGTTTCAGTAAGATGTTCCTCAATTTAAGATTTGAAATCCCTTTGTTCAGAAGATGAATCTCTCAGCAATCCCTCCAAATTTGGAATTGCCTTCATTATACAATTTGAATTAAGCTACACTTAGTATTGACAATTTCGGTTCAGTTTTGGTTTAGCCATCGAATTCTTAGAGAAGCTTGTGTGCAACAAGTTTTCTGGAATCCATATGTTGAACATTTGATATTTATTGTTTAGTGTCTGATCTTGTTCCTATTAATTTCTGAATGCTCATCACCAGCATAACACTAGTTCTTAGTAGTTCTAGTTAAAGGCCAGGCTCATCAAAACTCAGCTCTGTTAAGGTCCGAACCCAATTTACTTCTGACTACGAAGAACACGAAAGCAGAGTTTGAATGTTTTCCCCAAGGTAAATTAATTCAATAAAACAACCCGTAGTGTTGACCTTAGTGACAGGATCTCCTGTTTTTACATCAGAAATTTTCTAGTTGTAAAAAGAACTCAACTCCTGGCTAATACTCTATCTGACGACACAAAGTGACTTACATCTGATATTCAGATGAGAAATTCCTTAATTCCTTGAAAAATCTGAAAGAGAGTTCAAATTTGGAAGTGCCCTTATTAAATAATAAAAGATCAAATGATTAAACATATGCATTTCAAACAGGAAAAAACTTGTTTAATACAAACTCAGATGGGCTGCTGCAGCTGAGCCCTGCCTAGGCTCTAGTTCTACCATTGTTTTCGTAGAAAATTTGCTAAGGAATTAAATAAACTGACACTGAACCATCTCTACTGCATGAATTTAAACTACCATTCGAATACAAAACGAATCTTCGCCTCTGGTTCAAGAGTTTGCAATGAATCTAACAAAGCATCACAGTTAAGGACATTTGTATATCCATTTCTTCCACAACGCTCGACCTTGATGCCTTTTAAGTCATGCCGCCAACATTTTCCATCTGTAGCTGAACAATGATGTCTGTGTTTCACTCCACGCACTAATTTCTTGCAAAGAATCTCCATGAATGCTTCAGTGGTTTGGCAGCCAGACTCAAGGAATAAAGATTCTGGACGACAAATACAAAACAAGTCATCAACAAGAGCGTGGCCTTCTTTCGCTATGCTATGACCATCTTTACCATCTAAAGAGATTTTCAGCTTCAAGTGACTGTTATCAAGCAAAACAGGATTGGTTATATTGTTGATGATTTCGTGCATCCCAGATGAATCCTCGGTAACGTGCAAAGTGAGAGGTTTGATTTTGTCGAAATTTTTAAGATATTCCCTAAAATCTTCGACGAAATGTTCACGGTGACAACGATATATGTCGTCGAGAAATAATTCAAGAGTAACTTCTTGCAAACTAGTTTGGTTCACTGAAAACAAAGCCGGGAAGTTTTCCAGGACATATTTAAATGACTGCAATCTCGGAGTATTGATGACAACGTCCTCTGCCACCACCTGACGTACAGCAAGGTATAATTTCTCAAGCTGAGGCATCGAAACTTCAATTCTCGGACCGAGAAAACCATCCAAGACCAGAACTTTGAGGGTGGGGAAAGTAGAATGCAGGTATTGGATCATGCTGTCTGTAATGTTACCACCTCTGAACTTAAATACTTCTAGGTTTTTGCAGGAGGTCAGATCAAAGTGAGACTCGTCCATAATACTGCTATATGGAGAATAAGAGAAAGAGAAAGTTTGAAGACAAACTGCATCAATCTCGATCCTCTTCCCCTCAGAATTAAAAAGCTGGCTTTTCACTTTAACCTTCTTGAGTTTTCTGAAACCCAAAAGCTTGAGGCAATCTAGCCGTCTACAATCTATCAGAACAAATTTCTCTATCAACGGGCAGGTAAAGGTAAGATTGTCAATAATCATCTGGTCACAAATCTCAACTGAATCCAGAGAAAGCTCACGCAGAGAAGGCAAATCTATGGTACTATTGAGAGCACAACCATATAACCTACAAACAACCAATTCTTTGGCAGATAATAGGGTTTCGGGCAGTCTATAAAATGGGAAGCAATAAATATGAATAGAAAGTTCCTTAACACCCTTCTGTGTAGCCAGTCGAATAGAACGGTTGATATATTTATCGAGACGAAGCTGCAACCAAGGAGGGGGAGAACAAACATAAGGTGAATAAAAATCTCTGGTGAGAGACAACTGAAATTTTGGTATGCTTCTGTAGTGTCTCAATTGTCGAAGCAAAGAAGTGTAGACAAAAGCAGCGAACTGGAGTTTCCTGTCATCAGAATCCCTTTCGAAGGAGGGACCGGAGAAATCAGATATGGGAAAAGAAGTGAAAACACAATACCATGGTTTGGACAAGACACTGAGACGAACTACTTCTGGTGTTGCAAGAAAAGAGAGAATGTGGTGTATGATTTGATCAGGCAATTGGGATATCCGATCAGCAGAAATTGTGGTGGCTGCCATGCCCATGTTGTTGAAATCGGAGAATCTGGTTGCTGATCTAAAACCTGAGATTGTTTTAGAAAATTAGATCATCGCTATCATATATATAGAGAGAGAGAGAGACTGAAAGTCTCATGAATATATCCTTAAGTTATAAGGATAATTTTTTTCCGCTTCTGGTATGGATAGATTTCCTTTAATAGGATAAAGACTAGAGAGTTTTGGTCGGGTTTCTAAGCCCAATACATTGCCATTACGTCTGATTCAGCTTTTTTTTTTTTTTTTATCTGATCAGATTTGAATCTTCTATTTAAGTCTGCCTCTTGTTTTCCTCCTCCAAACCCTAAACCTAGAGTTGTAGCAGTCTTAGATTTTATAAATAAGCTTCACGTTTTAGCTCAACCATATCCTCTGATTTCAAAAACATGGCCATGGCCATCACTATCATTTCTGTTGATCGGATATCCCAATTTCCTGACCACATTATACATAACATTCTTTCTTTTCTTCCAACACCAGACGTGGTTCGTCTTAGCCTCTTGTCCTAGAGATGGAATGGCTTTTTCGCTGCCTTTCCCTTTTCTGATTTCTCTGATTCCTCCTTCAAGTCAAAAGCTTATGACAGGAGACTCAAATTTGTCTACTCAAGTTTCAGTTGTCTCTCACTATGTATTTTTTTCATACTTGTACCCGTCAGGAATTGCAGCATAAACTTAATACTCTCATTCATATATTTAAATAGTGGATGGTTGTAAAAACGACTGTGGTTGCTATCGCGGATTGCCGCTTACTATATATTTTGATAATTTTTTTATCTCTTTTTTTATTTAAAATATATGAAATTAATTTTTAATTATTTCTCATTAATTATTATTAATTATTTAATTATTTTTTATTTCTACTAATATTTTATTTTTTGATTTATAAATACATTAAATATTTTTAAAAAACCATTTTTACACCTTAAAATTATTTTTATAATAAATATTTCAATAATTTATCTCTATTTTTTCATGTAATTTTTAAATGTTAAAAAATATTTTTTAAAAAATAACTTCCTAAAATATACTTTTTTCAATTTTTTATTTTTTTTTTATTTTTATTTTTTTTTGAAAGTTGTTTTCGACCAAAAAGGAGGCTAACATTTTTTCCTTTCCTCTTCGCAAGAACAAAGCCTAACATTTTTCTGGCCATTAGATACTTAACTTCATCTTGTTTTGTGGCCCAAGTTTTAAGCTTCCAAATCGGAAAGGTCTTGACCTATAGTAGGCTGTGCATATTATTAAGCCCATGGTCAAGCCCAACTTTTCAAAAGGGTAAGTTACATTCTGGTCCCTATATCGTTTTTAATCCCAATTTGGATCCATTATGTAAAATCAGTAACATTAATTTAATAGTTAATATTTTCAGTTAGTTCAATATATACAACTACTATTAAATTACTAACAAGTGACCTTCTAATTTTTTTTTAAAATATAATTTCTTACAGATTTAGGTGAAATATAGTCTAAAAAATATAGAGCTTTAGGAAAGGAAAATTGAGAAAAACGAAGATGATAAAAAAAAAATAGAGAAAATGAATGTTCCACTAATTTCTGTTAATAATCTAATATATTGTTAAAAAATATTGAGCTTTATTTAGAATTTTTTACTTATAAAAATATTATCTTAATATAATTTTTTGATAGATATAGTGGTTGAAATGTATTTTATCTTGAGGTGATACTTTAAATATAATAAATATAATGTTTCTACAAAAAAAAAAAAGTGATGAATTTAATGGAACTTCAAATAAGATCCGCACCCGTTAGCATGGGGATTTAGAAAGATATTTTTAAATTTTAATTTAAAATTTATAAAAACCAATTTGATCTATTTTATTAAAAAAAATTAAATCCAAAACAAAATAGGATCTAATTTTATTATTATTCTGTTTGAATTCATCCTGTTGGGAGTTTTACATACAACATTCAGCAAGCAATGAGAATTTGTAAGTAAGTGGATTCAAAATGGAACATTTGATAAACTATAAGTACCAAAATGTACTTTAACCATGAAGCATAGAGAATCTGCCAATTGAGAAACTGTTAGGGACGTGGCCTGACTAAGAAACATAAAAAATTATTACAATAACGAAAAGCTGTTGAAGTCAAAGCTAAGGCTCACCAACCCCAACAAAGGCGAACGGTTTTTTCTAGCCTCACAGTCCTCCTGGTCCCAATGAATCCACATTTCCATGGCTTCAAAATCTCGTAAAAAGAAACCATATAAAAAACCCGACAATATTTCTATGTCCTCTTCATCTTTTACTCGTCTTAGTTACAAGAAAGTTTCAGTCTTTGTATCAGTAGTCATGATTTTTGGTGTTATTTTTCTCTTGGGCATCTCATCAAACATTTGGAGTGGTGTTGCTTCTGTTCCTAAATTGTATGCAGTTCAAGTTATCAATGAGTTCCATCATGACCCCAGTGCCTTCACTCAGGTAAATCCTTTTCTGGGTTTTTTTTTTTTTTTGCTTGATTTGGATTTATCTTCCTTGATTTGATTGTTTGGATCTTTTGTGAGTTTTGTAGCTGTCATTTTTTGTTTCTATTTTAGTTCAATTTTATAGTCAGACTTGTGTGAAATTAGATCAAACCCTGATCATGATTATCTTTGGAATTTTAGTTGAATAAAGGAATACATAACTTTTATCATGCACATGAGCTCAGATTGTGCTTCCTCAAAATTAGATGTGTTTCAGCATTGCTTGACTCTTGATGAAATTTAACCATAAAACTATGAAGAATGATGCTTCCTTTTTTTCTTTTTTCTTTTTTTGCATATGAAGAATGATGCAAGAAATACGGAATATTTTTTTATTTGTTTTTTACTAATTGTGTGTTAAGATAGGTATTATTTAATCCATTAATGTTAAGTACTAATTTTTGAAGGACACAGAATTTTGGAAATAATTACTCCCTCTGTCCCGTAGAGATTGTCATATTTCACTTTTTCCACGTATTAAGAATGTTATTAATTGATATTTAATGCCATTATTTTTTATCCATATTTTTTAAAAATATCTCCTTTTTAATTGTAGTTCCCTTATAAATGAGTTCTAATTAGGGGTATTGTACTAAAATATGTGAATTAAATATTTTGACCAGTCAATCATTTTGGCAAACAAAAATAGAAAGGGCAATCTCTTTAGGAGAGTTCTTTCCTTTTAAAAGAAATTATGATGGATTTTTGAGGATTTGTTTTTCCATTATGATGGACAAACATAGATAGAAAGGACAATCTCTTTAGGAGAGTTCTTTCCTTTTAAAAGAAATTATGATGGATTTTTGAGGATTTGAAATTATGATGAAATAAAGAATTTCATTTTTTGGCAATTGATAATTTTTGGATTGAGAAGGCCTAACGACCTATTCAATGTTTATAACTTTTCATTTCTATCACCAAAAAAAGTTCTGTGTTGATTCTGGCGGTTATGGATTTAGGTGTTGTTTTCCTCTTGGGAATTTCCTTGAACATATGGATCAGTTTTGCATCGGTTGATCACTCTCCAAAAATCTATGCAACTCGAGTGCTTAATGAGTTCCCTCATGATCCAAAAGCTTTCACTCAGGTGACCCTTTCTTGGGTCATCTCCTTTTTGTTTCATAGAAGGGCAACATTGGCTCTGATTTGACCATCTTGTTTTTTGTGGAAAATGTTTATCTCTTCTTCTTGTTCCCATTAATTAGGTGGATTTGATCATTCATTTTGAGTGCAGTTAAAAGGATTTGTTTTAGTCATTGTTAGACAAAAATTAGGTGGATTGCAGGATCCAAGTCATGTTCGGATTCCAGTTGATGATGGCACTACCAGAAGTTTTGGTTTGACTATGAACTTGTTGAACTTTCTGTGAATCCGTCATCATGTTTATTTACTTAAAAGAGTTGAAGCCATTCATGTAGCTCAGTCTTGTTCATGTGTTCTTTTCAATTTTTGTTCTTGTTTTTCCTTCAACAATCTGATTAAGATCCCTAAGCACATATTTCGGAAAGCCATTCCAAATTATTGGGACTTTTGAGTATGAATTGCATATGCTTTATACTGGATTATTGACTGCAACAATCTTGGTTTCAGGGTCTTCTTTATGCCGGAAATGGTATGCTATATGAGTCAACTGGCCTTTATGGGAAGGTAAGTTTGCTTATTCTCAAGTTTGCAAGTGTGTGTAATATTCGTTTGTATATTATTCAAGATCTTTTCTTCTCTGGCTTTCTGTCTTTTATGTTTTGTTCTGTCACTTCATGCATTGTTTATGAAATTGACGTTTGGTAGTTGCATGCCATTGTGTTTCAGCATGTTGTCGAAGAACTGCGTTTTTTTTAAATAAAGTAGGCTGCATACTTTGCACTGTCTCTTTGCTTTTCTTGTCAATTACACTTAAATTACATTCAATTCACTGATCATTCTGTTTGACTTTATCATTTCAGTCATCTGTTCGCAGAGTAGCTCTTCATACTGGGAAGGTAAGAGTCTGTTTCTCATTTTGACAGTCATTTTCCTTGGCTTTTCATTTTGAACTGAAACTTTTGAATATATATGCCTTTATGAGGATAGAGTTAATAGTTTGAAGTTAGCTATTAGTGCCGCTAGTGGACCGATCGATTGTGTCTAGCTAGAAAAAAATTCTGGTGGTTTTTTGTTCTTTTTATGAATGGTTGGTAGAGGTATTTATGGCATTTAATTCAACAAATGAGCAATATCTAAATTATAATATTGTAACAAGCTAAGCTGTATTTTCTCTGTATTTTCTATGTACAGGTTGAGGCTCTTCAAGAGATGGATGATTCTTATTTTGGGGAAGGATTAACCCTGTTTGAGCAAAGGTCTGTGATTCAGATGCAATTTTTTTTCTCTTGTCAATTCAACAAATTTATATTTGGAATTAAAATATGCCAGAGGTTGACATTTTCACTTGCATTCATAATGACTATTACATGCTTAGCCTCCCATTTAACTTATTTGCATTATCAGTTAATCTGGTCTGTCCAGCTGTTGGTTTTTCTTATATGTAGTCAAATTTAAAAATAACATGCTAAATTGCTAATATGCTTGTTTTTATTTTCTTTTGTAGGCTGTTCCAAGTAACTTGGTTGACGAAAACTGGTTTCATATATGACAGGAATAATTTAAGCAAAGTTTGTTCTTCACCATTTACTTTTGATATATACAAATTTATTTATTTAGTAAGGTTGTTAAGTCCTTTTATGCATTTAAGTATAGGAATCTTGGAGATGTTTCACTAGCTTTTCATTTGGGTATCACCAAACCACATGTTCGTGGTAAAATGCTATAGAAATCTCGTGCTCTAAATTTGATTCTCAAAATGATTTGATTGTCAAAATTCATACAATCTTGGATTGTGGTTGCTTTTACAATTGTGATTAGTTAATGCACGTAAAACTGCTCTGCAGACCAAATTTTACCTTGTCATAAAACGATCATGCTGCATTTTCCAGACGTGATTACTTATGCATTATTTTTGCTTATAATTTTCTTTCCTGCTTATGTACATCCTTTTTGGGGTGACTTAAGGTTCTATTTTTGGATATTTCGTAATTCTAGTTTATATTTAGTGCAGATTGGGGAATTCACTCATGGGATGGATGATGGTTGGGGACTGGCTACCGATGGAAAGGTTATATTCGGCAGTGATGGGTCTTCAGCATTGTATCAGCTTGACCCTCGAACATTTAAAGGTTCTCCTTGCATCTCAGTTTCTGAAAAATTATATGGTTTTTGTTGTTCTTTTCTTTTTTCATTCTTCTTTTGAACAATTTTCAAGGATTTTTTTCCCCAAGATTATTGATGTTCATAGACACTTCATTCTTGTGATTGCTCATAATAGCACCTGTTTCTTTTCCAATCTTAGCTTTGCTATTTTTCCATAGTATGGTGTTAACCCTATTTTGATGTATGAACTCAGATTTTGTTTTTCCTTTCAAGCTTTTCATTATTGCTGATTTTTCTTTTTGGCTTGTCTATTGCAGTCATTAAAAAACAAATTGTCAGTTATAATGGACATGAAGTACACTATCTCAATGAACTAGAGTTCGTGAATGACGAAGTTTGGGCTAATGTTTGGCAGGTGTATTATTGGATCCTTATTATGTTCATTTGGTTACTGATTGAAGAATTTCCCCGTAGTAGTTACTTTCTGGTATTTCAGTGACGGCATTGATATTGTGGTTCCCTTATAGAGGGATTAATTAGTGTACTAAAGAGAAGTGATTTAGGACTTTAATGGTTATTTTTTTTGCCTTAGATATCTATTATCCCAATACCCCTGTTTTTGGGCTTCAAATTAGTGATTGACCGTATAACTTTTCCTCTTCCCTTAGATCCCCTTAACCTAGTGAAGTCATTCGTTTCTTAAACAAATGCTAAAGACTTTACCAAGCAAGCTAGCGAAGACATTCCATCCAAATGCTGTATAAACCTTTATTCTTTATGTGCAGACTGATTGCATTGCAAGAATCTCTCCAAACGATGGTTCCATGCTTGGATGGATTCTACTTCCAAATTTAAGGTTGCGTTTTTCATTTGCTTTTCTTATGCACAGTTATTAGTTTTTTATATATTTTCTAGTCTGATCATGAGATAATTAAGTACCTGTGATGTTGCTCAAGGGTTTCAGAATCATTCCTTTTCTTTTCTGTTTTACAGGAAAGGCTTGATAGCGGCTGGATATAATGTAAGCATTAGTCATAAGTAATTCTTAAAAGAAGTTTGTGATCTAATCCTCTCTTCTGTTTGTTTGCTCACTATATAGAAGAGGAAGAAATGCATAAAAGGAACTGCATTTCCAATTATTTTCTCTTGCTCTCTCATTTTTCATATATAGATTGTGGGGTTTATAGAAGTCTTTTCATTTCCTAATTCATGTATTTGAATTCTTTCCTGCATTCTAGGGCATCGATGTTTTAAACGGCATAGCATGGGATGGCAATGACAACCGCGTTTTTGGTAAGCTGCTGTAGATGCCTTTTCTCTTCTAACCCCATTAACATGTTTTATGTGGTCCACATTCTGCATATGCTGAATTGACATTATCAGACAAAATCTCTTCGTTCTGTACGAAATCTTCCACATACCAATGCTGTAGCTAACCGGTGGAGTTAACTACCGAAGTCTATGCATTTCCAAATGCAATATTATTACTGCTTCTTTCTGCATCTCATACATTACCTTGGTTATGTTATGTTTTCTTTTTTAAACCCACACGCTCAAGGCTCCTAACAGAATTGGTATATTGGGTTTTGAATCTGTGACGTCTTGTTGCGAGAGACCACTACCATTGAGCTACAAGTTCTTTGATTTACCGTGATTATGTTGAATCATGCTTTCCACAAGAAATCAAATCGTAACTGACTCCTTGCTTATGATATAACTTTAGTTGTCCATGTTCAAAATTTGCTTGCAGTTACTGGAAAATTGTGGCCAAAGCTTTTTGAAATCAAGTTGCATCCAATAAAGAAACATATCGATAATGGAGTGATTGAGCAGCTGTGCATCCCACGAAGACTCTGATAAGTCACACTGTAATGCAGAGTTGGATGGGCTCACAAAGCATATTTTTAAGCTTTTGGTATGATTATGGAAAGGAAAAGGAACTTTTGGGACCATATAAGGTTTGGCTGACGCAGAAGTACATACCAATTGGCGAACAACACCTCTGCTTCCTAGACAGCAACTTTAAAATGTTGGGCTTTGAGTCCAACAAATATATATTTAGAAGAGGATGCTAGATTAATTTATATTCGAAGAGCATGCAACTTTTGGCGAACTTTTGGTTGTCGAAAGAAATAGGACTGTTGTTTTTGGCGTTTCATATTTAATTTGTACGTTATTTTCACATAAAAACACCCAAAAATCATCCTAAGGACATGTAAAAACTCATTTTGAAACTTAAAGCACGTTCTAATGTATCTCAAAAACCCAAAAAACCGAACCCTCCTCTCTTATCTATCTTCCCCTCCTCCCTCAACGTTTTGGGACTTTGTTGTAACAAAAACAAAGTATAGGGATTGTTTCGTATAAAATTATAACTCTCAAAATCAAAATATTAAAAAAAAAAATCACAAAATTTTAAAAAAGTTACTTGAGCTTTTTAGTAAAATAGATTTTGGGCTATACAATAGTAAGTATTTCTCCTCGTTACATAATCACTTAAAAGACCTGAAATAACTTTGACTCGAACTTGACTACCAAAGAAAAGTTAACTAAATACACAACTTGTGAGTTAAATTTGTTTGTGTATTGATACACCAAGTCTAAATATAGTATATATGGATTGTTCAAAATCCGGTCGAAAAAAATACTTAGATCTAGGCAGAAAAACTGATTTGAAAATAGTCTACTTTTAACATTGGAAAAAAAAAAAAAAAAAAGACTACCAATGTTGAGGAAAATATAACAAGTAAAAAAGGGACACTTTTGACTTAGGGAGTGTTTGATAACCGTTTTAAGCGAGTTTAAAAAATTAAGTTGTATTACTTAATATAAAAAGTTTGTTTGATAACCTAAATAATCTCATATTAAAAATTTAAGTTCAATTAAAATCTACTTAATCGGATAAATTAAAATTTTTAACTTATTACTTTTTTATTAATACATTCAGTTGAACGATTTTTAAAACTTTTCAAACATAACTATATCGTCCTTATATATTTTTATAACTTTAGATATACAAATCAATTGAAAAATAATCTCTACTATCTCATTGCTAAAATAGAGGAGACTTTCTCCATTATCGGTGTTATCATCTCGGAATTTGAAACGTCAATTAATGTTATCTTATATTATATTTATTTTTTTATCGATAATTATTTTTATCGTATATTTATTTATTTATTTGTACACATAAATACATCTATGTATATATTTTTATTTGTGTTAAAAAATATCATGTTACAATTATAAAATTAAAATTATCATGTACATAGTTTTAATATGTTCGGTAATAGTACTTATCAAACAAGCTTATTATATTCAGCACTTAATTTTTGATAAATACTAAACGAGCTTTCAAGAATATATTCAGTATTTAATTATTCAGTAATTAAAAGTCAATGCTTAATAAATTTAACACTTAATTTTTAATTTTATCATACGCCTCCTTAGTTTCTTGAGTTTCTTTTGGAATACTGAGAACATCCATAGCATGCAAAAATGCTCAAGTCCAAATCCATAGCAGAGCAGAGAAAATAGAATTTATTTCTTCGTATTTCAAAATAAAAAAAGGAAAACTAACCCATGACAAGTTTTCTCAACAAAAAATCTTTTATAGTAAATCATTTATTAAGAAAAATAAAAATCCTTAACACAAAGGTAGAAAAAAATTTAACAGTAACATGATCCCAGACACCCACAATGATCAGCCACTAAATTAAAAAAAGGACAACTTTCTTGGGGGGGGGGGGGGGGCGGGCAAACAACCAGTAGGTGTCTTGATTACCTAACAGCATCTGAAAGATTACTTTTTGTACGAAAATATATTTTTGTTGTTACGTCCTTTTCAGGGTCAGTGGAAGTATTGATATCCCTTTACGACTTTTGGAGGAAAATACTGTAAAGGAGAAACAGGCAGAAGATCGGAGAAGAAGCAATGAAGAAAGCAGAGCTGATTTTTGTTCCAGGCCCTGGAATTGGTCACTTAGCATCAGGTCTTGAATTAGCAAACCGCCTGCTCGACCATGATGATCGTATATCTATCACTATACTTGTCATGAATCTACGTCTCAGTCCATCTGTTGGTGCAAACGCCAGATCAGTCACTGCTTCGCAACCCCGACTCGAACTCGTTGACCTTCCCGAAGTGGATCCTCCACCATTGGAGCTTTTAATGAAATCCCCTGAAGCTTATATCTGTGCCTTCATTGAAAGTTACATACCCCATGTCAAAACTACTGTCACGAATATTGTATCATCCTTGTCTAGCTCGGATTCTGTTCGAGTTGCCGGGCTCATTCTTGATTTCTTCTGCGTGTCGATGATTGACATTGCAAGTGAATTCAGTCTCCCTTCTTATATTTTTGTAACCTCCAATGCAGGATTCTTGGGTTTTTTGCAGTACCTGTCCAAACGCCATCGCGAAAACAGCTCGGTCATGATAGAGTCTGATCCTGATTCGTCAATACCAGGTTTCTTCAATTCTGTTCCTGCAGGAGTCTTGCCTGAGGCTCTATTTAACAAAGATGGTTACGCAGCTGATGTTAAGATTGCTCGAAGGTTTGAGGATAGCAAAGGCATAATCGTGAACACATTTGCAGAGCTCGAGCCTTTTGCGATTAGGTCCTTCTCCGAGGATCACCAAATCCCTCCAGTCTTCCCTGTTGGACCAGTGCTACACCTGAAGAGCCAGCCTCACCCTGATCTAAACCAAGATCAATCGGACAAAATCATGAACTGGCTCGATGAACAGCCTCAATCATCCGTGGTGTTTCTATGCTTCGGAAGCATTGGGACCTTTAGCCCCCCTCAAGTGAAAGAAATAGCGCTTGGCATCGAGCAAAGTGGGTTCAAATTCTTGTGGTCCATGCGTTTTCCGCATCCACAATCGAGCCAGTCCACGAGCCCTGAAGAGGTGTTACCAGAAGGATTCTTGGAAAGAACAGAAAGACAAGGAATGATCTGTGGATGGGCACCGCAGGTTGAGGTCCTAGCTCACAAGGCGACAGGAGGGTTCGTGTCTCACTGTGGGTGGAACTCCATCTTGGAGAGCTTGTGGTTTGGTGTTCCTGTTGCCACCTTGCCTATATATGCTGAACAGCAGCTTAATGCGTTCAGGATGGTGAAGGAATTGGGACTATCGGTGGAGCTGAAATTGGATTATAAAAAAGGTGGTGATCTTGTGACGGCAGATGAGATAGCAAGAGCCGTGATATCTGTAATGCGAAGTGATAGCGAAGTGAGGAAGAAGGTGAAGGAAATGGGGGAGACGGCCAGGAAGGCTGTGATGGATGGTGGATCTTCTTTCACTTCTATAACAAAACTCATTCAGGTTGTAACAGGAAACAGCTGATATGACTATTGCCTGCCAGTAAAGGTTGATCTCCATTATTGTTGAAGAAATTGTGTGAAGATTAAGGATTTGCTTGATGTAAATCATTAACAAAATTTTACGTTGGCCTTTCATTTTGTTGTACCATGACCCATCTCTTATTGTTTTTTATTTGCCGTAATGAGTTCGGGTATCCTGTTCCTGTCTATTAAATCAATCATTTATCTTATCCGTTAAAAAAAAAAAAAATCTTTTCCACATATATTAAAAGCAATAAAATTTTAAATTTACATTCGACTTATCTGTTTAAAAATAATTTATTAAAAATATTCTTTTTTAGTCCTTGTAACTTTTTAAAAAGTTATTTTAGTCTTTGAATGTAATATTTTTACAATTTAGTTTTTTGTTAATAAGTTTTTTTAGTCCTCAAATTTTTTATAAAAATTAGTTTTATTTTATAAAGTTAATGCAATTAGGACTCTACATGTTAATTTTTTTTTTAAATAGTGAGTATTAATAAAGTATAAAACAAATATTTATATGTTGAAGCCATATTAATAAATGTATATATATATTTTTTATCTTAATATATATATATATATATATATTTTTTTTTATCTTTACACATTTCGGTATCTATTAGATATTTTAAATAAATATTTATTAGATCAGTATAGCAACTATACGCTACATACTCTATTTATCGTCATATATATATATATGTCTACCTTCAAATTAATTCTGCAAGTGATTTTTTTTTTCGAGCCTTTGATTCTACAACTTTAGCATGCTTTCTTTCTGTGTTATCTGAGGAACAAGTTCCGGAATTCTCTGTTTGGAGTTAACCCCGACTGAACACTGTGCCTTTAGGCTTAATGGACCTAGTTTGAGTAAATTATAAATTATTCCCTCTTGTTTTGAAAAAATAATTAATTAGTCTATCTATTTTTTAAAATAATTTTTTAGTCCTATTAACTAGTATTGAACATAAATAATTTAATATATATTTTTTATTCCATAAATTTTTATTTTTTTAATCAATATTTCTATATTTTTACATATTTGTATTTTTTAAAATGAAAAATCAAAATAAATTGAAAAATAGCAAAAAAAAGACTAAATAATTAATTTTTAAAACTAGGTAGACTAATTAATTTGTTTTCTAAAATGAGAGAGACTAATTTATAATTTACACCTCTATTTTTTAGAAAATAATTAGTATATACTATTTGTTTTGAAAACTAATTATTTAGTCTTTTGACCATATTTAATTTAATATTATTTTATGGCTAAAAGGATCTGACTATCCTTGAACATTAGGTCATTTAAAATTGACTTTTTGAACTTTTTTTTATTGATTTTAAAGAGTCTTAAACTTTTTTTTTTAGATTTGGCCCATTCTTTAATTTTTGTCATTTATCTCAAAAAATAACAATCAAATAAATATTTTCATAATAGAAATAATTCAGTGAGATTTATTTAAAGTTGCTAAAAAATTTTGGAATTATTTTGGACTTATTTTCTATTTTTTCCAATTTTTTTATATTTTTAATGTTCAAAAAATAAAAAGTATATATAGTTTTCAATTAATTTTTGGAATTTTTCTTAAAAATGGATTGAGTTTTTTCTAATGTGTGTGCAAAATTTCAACTCAAAATATCAAGAATTGAATTTTTTAGAGGAGAATATGATAACTAAAAAATCAATGGATAGACTAAATCTTAAAAAAATAAATAAATAAATAAAGAATTCTCAAAACTAATAAAAAATTTTAAAGACTCAACCTCAAATAACTTAAAATTTAGGAGTGGTTAGGCCCTTCTAACCTTATTTTATTTCAAAACGTATTATCTTTTCTCATCAATCATTTCATATTTTTTTAATTTTTAAAATAAAATAAAAAAGAGCAAAAATATTAAATTGTCTAGAAAATTTAAAAATTTTAAAATTTAAATAATTAATTTTTAAAATAAAAAAGATTAATTAATTTATTTTTCGAAAATAGAGAGACTAATTTATAATTCACTCAGTTGCCAAGTTGTCTGAAGTATATAATCTTAGGTCAATGGGCCAACTGGAAAGGCTGGACCAGTCCAAAAACTTTGATGAAACTTGTCTTTTATATTAAGTTAATTTATGGTAGCTGATGTTCATTGTTCACCTATTTCATCCTATAATTACTCTTGAAAATCTTTTGTCACTGACAATTTTTATATAGATAGATATGGCACTCAATTTTCATCTTATAATTATCAATATTTGCTTTTTTTACTCTCAATTTTTAATTGTACAGTTAGATTTTTTTTAAAAAACAAAGTAATTATTTTAATTTTCTCATGTTTGCTCTTTATCTTGATCTTTAAACAGTTCTTTTCCAATACTGATCATCACAAAAATTATACGAGTAAATAATAAATTATTCCCTTTATTTTTAAAAAATAAGTTAATGGGTCTCTTTATTTTAAAAATTAATTATTTAATCATTTGACCGAGTATTGATCACACTTAATTAAATATTATTTTATTCTTAAAAAATGAATTTTTTTCAACAATCTTTCCTGAATATGCATTTTTTTTCTATTTAATAAAAACAAAATAAATCAGGAAAAACAAACTTAAAATGGACAAAAAAAGACTAAATATTTCTTTTCTAAAAACAAGGAGACTAATTAATTTATTTTTCAAAACTAAAGGGAGTAATTTATAACTAACTCAACAAAAAAAAAAATATCCGAAAACGTGGGTAATAGCAAAACAAAAGAACAAAAAAAATTGTTTGAAGTGGCAAGTGGTTGATTTTAGAGTCGAGTAAGTTATAAATTAGTCTTTCTATTTTTGAGAAATGAATTAGTTAGTCTTTCTTCTCTTAAAATCTAACTATTTAATTTTTTAAATAATATTAATCACAATTAATTTAATATTATTTTATTTTAAAAAATCTGATTTTTCTTGGTTAATATTTTCATATTTTTTACTTATTTTTTTTCCTTTTTCTTTCTATTTGTTAAAGACAAAAAAATCAAAGTGAATTGAAAAAAAAAAAAGATTAAGTTACAGGACAATTTTAAAAATATAGGAATTAAATAATTAGTTCTTGAAATAAGAAGGACTAATTAATATATTTTATGAAACTAGAGGGACTAACTTATAAGTTACTTTTTATAGTCAAGCTATTCAAATTTCCCGCTATTTCGCAGGGTAGTTGATAAATTTATTCAAATATTTGAAATAGAAAGTCATATAGCTAATCTCAAACTCCTCCATTATCTTTGTTTTTTGTTTTTGTCCCCTAAAAATATCAAAAACAAGAACAGTTTCTCTTCAATCTCCATGGACTTCACTCCTTAGCTTCACCACTTTCTCTAATCATGCCATACAACACATCCGCTATAGACACAAAGTTGTCAAAGCAAACCTCATTTTTTGGCGTAAGATTATGGGTTCTAATACTTGCTTTGATTTCTGTCTTCACTGTTCTCATTCTTGTCATCATGCTTGCTTGCACCATCTATCTTCGTCACCGAAAATCGAAACCTTTCAAGCCCCATTTGCTGCGTTTATCGAACCCCATTTCAATGAAAGGTTTTCAGAATTCTTACACTACTCCGTCCATGGATAAAAGGCTTTTGTCACATCATGCTTCGGAGGTTGAAATGAACATTGCAAAGTTAGAACATCATCATCCGGTGGTGCCATCCGACCGATGGTCTAATATGAGCAGTGGGATCACAACTCATCAATGGAGTGGCAATGTAGCTGATGTGGAGTGTGTTGCTAGGTGCTCTTCTGTGGTTCCTGATAAATGGTGTGGAAACAGGATTTCTCTGAAGGAGATTGAGGCTGTTACAGATGGATTTGCTGATAAGAATCTGATTGGAAGTGGAGATTATAGCGTTGAATATCGCGGCATGCTGTTGGATACTAATAGAGTGACTGTAAAGAGGCTACTAAGTAACAGGTGATCAATTTTGAATCTTTTTTATAAGCTAGATGATTTAATTAAATCACATCAAAATCAAGCATGTTAGACTACCAAAAAGAAGGAGATTTTGCATATCAGAGTTCTGTTTATTTTGTTGATGAACTAATGAATCATCAGTTGCCAAGCTGAGGACTTTATAGCAGAAGTGGAAGTGATGAGGCATGTTAGGCACAAAAATTTAGTCAGATTGCTTGGATACTGTATGGAAGACGGTTACAGGTAAATCTCTTTTCAGAAACTCTACTATGTTTACCCAAGATGCAATTTCCGTTTGATTTTTCGGAAACGCCCAATAAATTTGATCTCAGAATCAATACGAAAATGTTATTTTTCCTGGTTTTCCCTTCTGTTAGAATTCTTGTGAGTGAGTATGTTGATAATGGGAATCTGCATCAATGGCTATATGGATGTTCTGAACAAGTCAGCCCTCTAACGTGGGCTATGCGGATGAACATCATCCAGGGAATAGCTAAAGGGTAAGTTTTGTGACTTCAGATGTTTATTAATTTGATTGGTCTTACAGTTTAGTTTTTATTAGTTTATTCTCATACAATGGAAAACTCTTTTTGCTTCTGAAGGCTAGCTTACCTTCACGAAGATATCGAGCCAAATATCATTCATCAGAACCTAAAATCTAGCAATATACTGCTTGATCACCAGTGGAATCCTAAGATAACTGATTTTGGGATCGCTAAACTCTTCGGTCCTCAATGGATAGATGTAACCATTCGCTCAATGGAAACATCTGGGTGAGTTTCTCCGAATCTGCGTGCTTATTACATAGATATTTTACTCTGGTTACTGTAAGTGAACTTGGTAATTTGCACTGACCATGTCAAGGAGGATGTTTTTGCAGATATTTAGCCCGCGAACATGAATCTATTGGGGTTCTGAATGAAAAGAGTGATGTTTACAGCTTTGGAATACTTGTCATGGAGATTATATGTGCTAGAGTTCCTGTAGATCACAATCAGACTCAAGTACAGATTTCTTATCTTCAAGCACTTATGCAACACTACAAAAAATAATGGAATTAGCGACGGTCTAGACCGTCGCTAATTCTATAAAATCCATCGCTAATTTTAATTAGCAACGGAAAACCGTTTGAAAAATGCTAATTGCTAAAATTTTGCGACAGTTTTGGGACTGTCGCTAATCTAGCGACATCCAAACTGTTGCAAAATTAAAAAACCGTCACAAAAAATGGTTATAAAAGCGAGAAAATATTACAATGGTTCAAAGAAACCCTTGCTAAAGTGCTTCAAACCGTCGCAATTTTAGTAAATTAGCGACGGTTTTGAGACTGTCATTAATTTCCCCTCGCAAATCCGTTTTTTTTGTAGTGCAAGTTTTACTTTACTCCGTGTATACAAAAAAGGTTTCGTGGCTAATTGAAATTAGTCCTTCATTGCAGGTATACTTGGTTGACTGGTTAAAGTCCCTGATTGCTAATAAACAAATCATGTTTGTGGTGGATCCTAAATTGCCAGAAATGCCACCATCCAAGGAACTAAAACGAATACTTCTGCTCGCTCTTCGCTGTGTTGATCGTGATATAAAGCATAGGCCTACCATGGGAGATGTGATCCACATGCTCGAGCCTCGCGACTTATTGCTTGATGCTGTAAGAACTAAGGATATTTTGTTCTTTTTAAAACTTCAGAGCATTTGGATTTATAATGTCGATTGTATGATGCAGGATCGTCGAACTAGGAGAGATGGCTCAGCTCGTCGGAAAAACCAGCAAGAGAGTCACACTGTTGCCAAATTTAGTGAAGGTGATTTTAGTACACACGAGAAAGAAAGCAACATTAATCTCTACCAGAAAATCATGCAGATGTAAGAAGATTTTGTTCTTAAGAGATAATGGAAAATCTGACTTCTGAATTCTGAGAGGTTGTAGACATCTTTTTTTCTTGATTTATTTTCCTTGTAGTTGGACAGGTCAAACTATGAAATTTTTGTTCATCTGTAGTTACTTTTCTCATGAGTTAAATCAATAATTTTCTCCATACAGAGCATCCTTCTTGATCAATAAAACATAGTAAGCTGATGAACTGCATAAAAGTTGCATCTTTTTCATTAATTCTCTCATTTGGGATTACAAAATACAAATATATTCTACACTTCGTCCATATGTATAGACCATCAACCTATCTTCTTCATCTCTCTTAGATAACCATCATTGCTTGATTGGGATATGATCTAGGCAGTGGCAGAACAAGTCTGGAGCCTAACGTTCTCAATTGGAAGTTTATCTTCTGGGAAAGGACAATATGTGCTTTTCGTCCGCAACGCAGCACATGGGTTTGGAGTCACATTGCTTGCAATTCCTGATACGTCTGTGCAGTTCCATGATGGTTCATGATGTTTCTCAGCCAAGGTCATTCTGACATTAGAAATGCAAATTCCTGTAAAAGGATTTTCCTCACCAAGTCCTTCTAGTTTCCCCGGAATCGTTACGTTGTCAGCCTCTATATCTCTGTAATTTATATTTGTGATCTCAGGCAGAGCTTTCGGATCATATCCCTTGTCGGCGTGTGAGGCATAAGAGCCTATCATCCAAAAGACATATTTCATTGTCTTCAGGGTCATTCTTCTTACAAAAATGTCTTTCACATAACCCCCTCTTCCTACTGCGGTTTTGACTCGAACAGCTGATTCAGTATTAATGGCTGTAATATCTTCAATTCTAACATCCTCAATTCCACCAGACATTTCGCTTCCAAGCGCAATGGCAGCACTTTTAGGGGAAATACACGTTATCCTTCTTATGACTAGCTGTTTCATAGGTATTCCAACTTTGATTCCATATTGATCCAATCCACTCTTAACAGCAATGCAGTCATCCCCAGACACTATGTAGCAATCTTGGATTATAACATTAGTGCATGAATCTGAAAGAAGAGAGAGTTACCGTTATCGATAAGTTGGAAAGATTACATCCAACATCAAGTAAACTCTGTGTTTCTATAAGAAAATATTATAGACCTGGGTCAATTCCATCTGTATTAGGAACATCAACTGGTGCCAAAATTGTCACTCCCTGAATCCACACATTGCTGCATTTTTCAAAAAACATTAAATCATAGTTTTAAATCACTAAGGCGATAGTAACATAACGGTTACATAACACACGTTATTTGGAACTATGATTAAACCACACAATTACATGTAATCTGCTGCATAATAGGCTTAATTATCATAACTTCTACACAAGGCTGAGCATAAGAAAATGGTCTAACCTGCTGTAAATAGGATGAACATGCCATTGTGGAGAGTTAATCAAGGTAATATTCGATATTTGAACCTGATCAGAGTACATAATCTCGATCAGAAAAGGTCTCTCCTTTTTCAGCTTTTTTGCTCGGAATTTTTCCCACCATATTGCACCCTGGCCATCAACTGTGCCGTTGTTACCTAACAAGAACAAGACGTAAGAAGCCTTCAGTCAAAGTAAAAATCAACCAAATTCATCTAAAATCAAGGGCCTAATAATATTGATTACCAGTAATTATGACGTCAGTTACGTTCGAAGCAAAAATCAGACTACCAGACCTTCGAAAAACAACATTTTCTCTTACTCCCCCATAAGAGGGCAATGGAGTAAGAACTGGCCATTCATCCTCATCCTGCCATTATAGAAGAGAAATGCTTCAAACAGTTGTCACGGCCATGAACACAAGTAAATGTACATGCTAACATATATATATACACACACACACATGCAGTGGGGTATTCTTGGGCCAAATTTCACATCAACCGAGATTAAATCTACCATTTCCTAGACTAATATGTTCATAGCTGTGATTGTGCAAAGCATTTTTCATTGTAAAAGGATGATCAACAATATGTGGGATCTATCACTTTTTTGAGGGAGTTGGTAGTCGATCGGCCTCATGCAATGATTTCTTTTTACAAAATTAATGGGAAAGATCCGTAATTCCATACCTGAGAAGCAAGAAGAACAGCATCCTTATGGAGAAAAAGAGTGAAATGGCTGGTGAGATTAAAGCTCCCAGTTAACCATTTTCCTGGTGGAACAATAAGTTGTGCTCCACCATCTGATGCATACTGACTTAGCTTGGCAATTGCTGTCTTAAAAGCCTTTGTGTTTGAAGTTTTTCCATCACCAACTCCTCCAAAATCTGTCAACACTGCACTGTGCTTTCTGCAATTTATGGCTTGGAACTCTACAGTTTTTTGGTGGGATACTGCTAGTGTTGAACCCGATAGTGATCCCAATATGAAAACGGTTGAGATAATAATCTGCAAAACCTGTAAATCATCGTTTGATAATCGCCGCATTAGACCAGATCTAAGGTATCAGGCCTATGTTACATATCATACCTGAAAATGAAAAGAAAACAAAACAAAAAGAGAAGAGCGAATATTCTTTCTAGTTTAAGACAAACTACCTGGTACTTTCTGGACTTAGAACAAAACTCCATTATGTGTACGTGTTAAATTGAGAGATGAGATTCATTTTTTAGTACAAAAGTGGAGATTTTATAAGGTTATTCGGAAGAATGTTAAGGATTATTACATCCCCATAATTTTCTCCGAAATTTGTGGATAAAAGCAATTAATTAACATGGGGAATGGTGTGGTCAATCCTCGAAGACGTCAAATAAAGCAGTTACTTCTTTTCTTAGTTTGATCACCTAATCCTTTATCTACTATAGCAATTTACTTCTTTTCTTAGGTTCACCCAATCCTTTCTCTGTATTGTTGTCATCTATTGTACAAAAGTCTCAAAGATCATCTCACTTTTAGACAATGCTTTGATTGACATCTTCACTGTTCTTATTCTTATCCTTTGCCGAAAAATAGAGGTAAATATCTCAATTTGTTCTCATTTGCTATTTAAATCTCTCGTATGTTTTTAAATTTCTAATTATATCTCGTGTATCTTTAAATTTTTTTAAAATATTCAATTTATATTTAAGATTGATTTTTTTTTATTATTGACAATTTTTTTAACCAAAATCTCTTTATTGAAATGTCAAAAAAATAATAAATAAAGTCATATGACTTATATATTTTATTTTTGAAATCTTTAAAATTTTATTTTTTTATTTTTTTACATTTCACTAAAATGTAAAAAAATATCTCAATTTATTCTTATATATTATTTAAATCTCTCATATGTTTTTAAATTTCTAATTATATCTCATGTGTCTCTAAATTTTTTTGAAATGTTCAATTTATTTTTAAGATTGATTTTTTCGATTATTGACAAAATTTTTAACCAAAATCCCTTTATTCGAATGCCAAAAAATAATAAATAAAGTCATATGACTTATATATTTTATTTTTGAAGTCTTTAAAATTTTATTTTATTTTTATTTTTTTTACATTTCACTAAAATGTAAAAAAATATCTCAATTTATTCTTATATACTATTTAAATCTCTCATGTGTTTTTAAATTTCTAATTATATCTCATGTGTCTCTAAATTTTCTTGAAATGTTCAATTTATTCTTAAGATTGATTTTTTCGATTATTGACAAAATTTTTAACCAAAATCCCTTTATTCGAATGCCAAAAAAATAATAAATAAAATCATATGACTTATATATTTTATTTTTGAAGTCTTTAAAATTTTATTTTATTTTTATTTTTTTTACATTTCACTAAAATGTAAAAAAATATCTCAATTTATTATTATATACTATTTAAATCTCTCATATGTTTTTAAATTTCTAATTATATCTCATGTGTCTCTAAATTTTCTTGAAATGTTCAATTTATTTTTAAAATTGATTTTTTTGATTATTGACAAAATTTTTAACCAAAATCCCTTTATTCGAATGCCAAAAAAATAATAAATAAAATCATATGACTTATATATTTTATTTTTGAAGTCTTTAAAATTTTATTTTATTTTTATTTTTTTACATTTCACTAAAATGCATTTCGATCAAAAAACAATCCATATAATTAGACCATGAAGAGGTTGTCAAATGAACAGTAGTCCAATATGACTGATGTGATACTGATAGGACATGTCAGACACCAGAAGTTACTTTTTCCTGTATGAGTACAGATTAGTCTATAGAATTTCTGTAGTTAGTTTGAAAAAAAAAAAATCATGTAAACAGTAGGAAAATGAATAGAAAAAGGGAAAATTATCATCAATTAAGCTTATCATTCTGACTTGAGGTATAACATATTCTGTGCTAAATCCATGTTTGCTGTGTAAGATCATCAATCTGTTTTATTCATTATCTCTAAGAGAAATATCATGGCTTGCTGGGGGTATAATTCTAGGTCCTAGCAGAACAAGTTTTGAGCTTGACATTATCAATTGGCAGCCTATCTTCAGGGAAAGGACACTCGATACTTTTCTCCGGCAACGGAGCACATGGCTGAGGAGTTACTTCGCTTGAAACTCCCTGTATGTCAGTACAGTTCCATTGTAGATCCTTAGGTTTCTCAGTCAAACTAATTTTTACATTAGAGATGCAAATTCCTGTAAAAGGATCGTTCTTAAGTCCTTCAAGTCTTGCCGAATAGGTGACATTGTCAGCCACTATATCTCTGTAATTTATTCCTTTGATCTCAGGTAGTGCTTTTGGATCATATCCAGGATCAGGGTGTGAACCATAAGAGCCTGTCATCCAAAAGACATACTTCATTGTCTTCAGGGTCATTCTTCTTACAAAAATGTCTTTCACATAAGCTCCTCTGCCGACAGCAGTTTTGATTCGAACCCCAGATTGAGTATTGATGGCTATGATATCTTCAGCTCTAACATCCCGGATTCCGCCGGACATTTCGCTTCCGAGAGCAATGGTGGCACTGTCAGGGGAAATGCAGGTTAGCCTCCGTATGACTAGATGCTGTGTAGGCATCCCAAATTTGATACCGTATTGATCCCATCCACTCTTAACTGCAATGCAGTCATCCCCTGATACTACGAAACAATCTTCGATTCGGACATTCGAGCATGAATCTGAAAAACATAAAAAACGGTAAACGATTACGACAATTCTGAAAGATTACTTCAAGCATCAAGGAAAAGCTATAAGCAAAAGCTGAAAAAATCAGAAAAATACAAACCTGGGTTAATCCCATCTGTATTAGGAGAATCAACTGGTGCCAAAACAGTCAACCACTGGATCAACACATTGCTGCATTTCGCAAAACATCAGAACCACAATTACATGCAATCTGCTAAATAATATGCTTAATTATAACTCGTACACAAAGCTGATTAACACATAAAAAAAGGTCAAACCTGCTATATGTAGGATGAACATTCCAGGAAGGAGAGTTAATCAATGTAAGATTTGAGATCTGAACCTGATCAGAGTACAAAAACTCTATCAGATACGGTCGAGTCAGTTTCAGTTTTTTCTGGTGGAACTTGTCCCACCAAGCTTGGCCCTGCCCATCGATTGTGCCATTGTTGCCTGATGATGAGAACAGTCCATAAGTAACAAGTTAGACATAACTTGACGGAAAAAAAATCAAAATGATGCATAATTTTTCATAATTAGGCCAAAATCATAAAAGGGTCTAAAATTTTGATTACCAGTGACCACAACGTCTGTTAGGTTTGTGCCATAAATGAGACTACTAAACCTTCCTGCAGGTTCATCTCTACCTACACCATAGGAGGGCAATGGAGGGAAAGCTGGCCATTCTGCCTCATCCTGCCAATCGACATGATCATGTAAATGTACAAAATATGGTGATATATATATAGATACCAAAAAAATCTATAGATACAAGAGTAAATTATAAATTAGTCCCTTATTTTTTTAAAATAAATTAATTAGTCACCTTTGTTTTGAAAACTAATTATTTAATGCCAATAGATATGATCATGTAAATGTACAAAATATGGTGATACATATGTAGATACAAAAAACAATCTACAGATACAACAGTAAATTATAAATTAGTCCCTCTATTTTTTAAAAACAAATTAATTAGTTTTTTTTGTTTTGAAAACTAATTATTTAATCTTTTAACTACAGATTCAAGACTAAATTATAAATTAGTCCCTCTATTTTTGAAAAATAAATTAATTAGTCACCTTTGTTATAAAAACTAATTATTTAATCCTTTAACTAGTGTTTGCCAAGATCAATTAATATTATTTTATTTTATAAAATATTAAATTTCTCATTAATCCATTCATATTTTTTACTTTTTTTTTCTTTTTTAATTTATTAAAACAAAAAATCTAAGTAAATTGAAAAGCAACAGAAAAAATTAAGTTACAAAAAAATTTAAAAATATAAAACTAAATAATTAGATTTAAAAAAAAAAAGAATGACAAATATGAGAACATTATAGGCAAAATTTTAGAGATCACATTAAAAAACTAGCTAATATTTTTCCTTAATCTAGGGTTTATATATGGAGAGAAAACAATTCAATACATCCAAAGCAATACTCTTCCTTTTCAAAAAAAAAAAAAAAAATCAGATCTATGGATGAATTTCTTCAAGGATCTCATATTTATATAAAAGAAAGAGTGTAACTTTTATATACCTAATAATTTCTATAAATCTAATTAATTAAGATAATTCAAATAAATAAATAAAATTCCAAGTGTACATTTCTAGCCTCAATAGAGGATCTTATCAAAATTTAGAGTCCCCAACTCACAAAAACTGTCCTAAAACCGTCCATGAACTCTCAAAAATGGCCTGTCAAGATCATAATTAGTTTTCCACCACTACTTCTTGAAACCCCAGATTAATAGGTAATAAAGGGTACTCAAATCATACCTGAGAAGCAAGAAGAACAGCATCCTTATGCAGAAAAAGGGTGAAATGGCTGGTGAGATTAAAGCTCCCAGTTAACCATTTTCCTGGTGGAACGATAAGTTGTGCTCCACCATCTGATGCATACCGACTTAGCTTGGAAATTGCTGTTTTAAAAGCCTTTGTGTTTGATGTTTTTCCATCACCAACTCCTCCAAAATCTGTCAAAACTGCACTGTGCTTTCTGCAATTTATGGCTTGGAACTCTATGGTGGTACCTGCTAGTGTTGAACCAAGTGATCCCAATATCAAAACTATTGGGATAATCATCTTCAATACCTGTAAATCATCAAATAAATTTCATCATTTCAACAATATTGTCGTAATAAGGAACACAAAAGGTCTATAGCGACATTCGATAATCATCGCATTAGATCATAGATCATCAGCTATGAGGTATGTGCCCATGTTACATGTTATTGATGAAAAGAAAAGGAGGAAAAAGAAGAAGAAGAAAAGGCGGTAATGTTCATCCATAGAAGAGAAAATGTAGAGGAAAAAAACCTTTTGTTGTCTAGATTTAGGACAAAACTCCATTGTGTATGATGAAATTAAGAGAAGACTAATTCATTTTTGAGAGAAAAAATGAAGAGAATTTATAGAGGTTTTTTTGAACGAATATTAAGGAAAAATCAAATCTCCCGATGGGATAATTTGAGCAACTATATAACATGGCAAGATTTTTTCGGTCTCTAAAAATAACAACAATATCAGTAACTTCCATGGTGTCATGTGAGGAAATTAATCATGATGAGTAGTTTAGATTTTGATTTGCTTTTAAAGAGATGTTAAAGAAGAAAATCAAAGATTAAGATAATATTAATAATTAATCAAAGATTACAAATGAAATTTATGAGTGAAAAATGAAGAGAAAGAGAGAAATTACATGGGATTTCTTGGATTTTGGACACAACTCTAACTCCATTGTCCGAAGGGAATGTGAAATTGCAATTTTCTTGAGGAATGATGCATATATACACACCCATATAGATAGAGGGAGCATTGAATATAATAAATACATCATCTTTTCTAACGAGATATACTTCCTCTTTCTCAAAGATATTGTCATCCTTGATCTTTTTAGATTTTTAAGAAAATTATTAATTATTAGATCATATTATTCTTTTTTGTTCACGGTTTTTCAAAATACTTTCATTTCGCTGGTAAAAATCGTATAAGATAAATTTAAACTAGGGGTATTTAAAAATACTTACTTAGTATTTTGAATAAAACAATCATTTTAGACAAATAAAAATAAAAATAAAAGTAAGACAATCGATTTGGAACCGAAATAATATATATAATAATCCTATATGAACAAAAAGAGCTTTGAGTATAATGAATATTATTAATTAAGAATGAAATCCAGTCAAAATTATTGGATAAAATTGTGCAGGAAATTCTGTCAAACCTTTTTGAGGCACCAAATTAACTGTATGAATTTAATTTATGATGCCATTTAAGGAAAAGGTTAGATTCACGGATAGTGGTGATGTCATCATCCACGTTTGCTTGCATGCGTAGTGGGTCTATATTTTTCTTAGTCTTCTTAATTTCTTTTTATTTATTTATTATTATTATTATTTGTAATAGACTATAATTTGAAATGAACTTTGCGTTGGCTCATTTTGGTTTTAAGGGAGTAAATTATAAATTAGTCCCTCTCATTATTTTTTCTTTACGACATAGAAAATGAATAATAAAAATAAGTAAGAATATAAAAAGATTGATAAAAAAATTTATAAAATAAAAAATATTAAATTAGTTATAGTCAATACTAATTAAAAAGATTAAATAATTAATACTTAGTGAGTCTATTTTTCATAATATTCTTTCTTTTTATTTATTTATTTATTTATTTTTGTAATAGATTATCATTTGAAATGAACTTTCCGTTGGCTCATTTTGGTTTTAAGGGAGTAAATTATAAATTAATCCCTCTCGTTTCAAGAAATAAATTAATTAGTCCATTTAGTTTTCAAAACTAATTATTTAATCTTTTTTACTATTTTTTAATTTATTTTGATTTTTTGTTTTATGACATAAAAAAATGAATAAAAAATAAGTAAAAATATGACATGATTGATGAGAAAAAAATTTATAAAATAAAAAAATATTAAATTAGTCATGATCAACACTCGATTTAAATGACTAAATAATTAGTTTTTAAAATTAAAAAGACTAATTAATTTTATTTTTTGAAACTAAAGGGATTAATATATAATTTACTCCATTTCAATTGTAACTAACTTTTTTACAACGATTATTTAGTATGATGATTAAGAAAATATGTCTAAACTTCTTGGCCATGAAATCAAACTTTGGATGCAAAATTGATAATAATTTAGTGATATATTTAATGTTTGTTCTAAATTTTGCATGTGTGGATATCGTGCCAAATTAAATTGGCCTAATCCAATAAATAAATAAATAATATGACAACATTCATGCATATATCGTTGAAAAAGAAATACTTTCTTGCTCTCAATTTAATGATTAAAAAGCAATTGTTCTTCGATAACAGAATGGATGATGGTCCTAGCTTGTGAAGCTCAAACTCTGTCAATGTCTGTTTTTTCTGTCATCACCCATGTGTGTATTGGAGATGCGTGCAAGTTAAAACTTTTCGTTTTTTCATTGAAAGGGAGAGTACAGGAATTTATATAATGAGTTATTAAATTGGCAATTGGTTTTTTTTTTTTCGTGTGTTAAATAAATCTAACATGTCATGACATATGATATTTTTATCATCATGTGTCACTTTTGATAAAAAAAAAAAAAAAAAAAAAAAAAAAAAAAAGACCAAAAAACTATTGAAGAAATCACATTGAGAAAATGGACTAAAAGGATGTGATAAATAAAATAAAGAATAGAGGAGCCACATCAAAAAAAAAAAAAATTTAAAGAGTAGAGAGACATTTTTTGTGATTAATCTAGTTATAATTAACATATTTTTTAACCACTTTTCGTATTCTTTCTTTATTTTTACCTTTTTAAATGTAATTTAGGATTAGATTGTAGATATAATTTTTATTTTTATCTTTTATAATAATGAGAATTTATAAATATTACCCAGAAAAGCTACAAGGAGAAAATTTTAAATTTTTTAATTTGAATGTTTCAATTTTTTTTTTTTTTTTGAGTGTGTAAACTTTTAAATTTTTTTAATTAAATGTTTCCCTTAGATGTGTAAACTTTTAAATTTTTTTAATTAAATGTTTCCCTTAGATTTATACTCACAATGACTTTTAAATTGACATAACTACATGCTAATCTGTTCACAACGTATGTATGAATATTTTATTTTAATTATAATCAATTGTTTATACTTTTATTTTTCTATTTAAATGTATATACTTTTATTTTTTTTATTTGAGTATATATATTTTTATTTTTACTAATAGAGCATTAAACAAACTGTGCCACACTTAAATAAGTTTCCAAGTAGGAATCTCTGCCTCTATAAACTCTAAAACCTCTCAAGTCTCAAAGGAAAAAACAAAAATCTGTAATCCCAAATCCAAAATCCCTATTACTCCTAATGGGCTTTTTTATATTAAAAAAAGAATCACTATTCAAAAACTAACTCAGCCCAAAACAAAAGGGCAAATTTCATAGTAGTCTACCAACTATTTATAGTTTCTCGATTGAATTCCCCAACTATCAATTTTGTCAAATAGGTTCCTTATCCATATACCCTTTCCCCCAATCAGATCAATCTATTGAAATAATTGGAGTACATGCTAAATGATGTACATTTGAGTCACATTTTTTCTGATTGACCCTAATTTTTGAAGTCTTGGATTAAAAAATAATTAGTTATTACCTTCAATTTAAGATGAGTTGGGTAAAATAAAGGTATGTTTGCTTTTAAGACTTCATCAAGAAATTGGATCATAAAACGTATACATGATTAGCACGTGCATTGTTTAATATCATCTCCAATTATTTTGATAAGAAGGATCCAATCGAGAAAAGATATATAGATGGGGGACTTAATTGATAGATTTCATAGTTATTGGAGGACTTTAATAAAAAACTATATAGTGCTTTGGGGACTAATCTTAAGTTTTCCCAAAAAAAAAAAAAAAAAGAATTATTCATGTATATGCTTGACGCATACAAGAGAAACAATAGGACACGACTTATTGCAAATCTCTCATGGCAGAAACAAATTCCACCATGATAATTGAAAACAAAAAAATAGTCATACAATTCATTAATGAAATCAAATCAGGTTCCAAAAGCTAATTGAAAAAAAATAATTAGGAAACCGAAGAAATTTTAGTAGCCACCAGCAGGAGTTGAGGTTGATGTAGTTTCTGAGGTGTAGAAGAAAGTCTTCATAGAGTAAAGTTTGATGTTCTTGTGACTGAGAATGTGGGAAGAAGAAAGGAGGGCACCAGTAATCCCATTGTTGACATCTGTTGGGATTTTGCAGGTCTCCGTTGGAGAGCTTTCAAGGTAGGCCTTGCACTCTTTAAGCTTTGAATCATGGCCGAGAGCACCAGAAGGAAACAACGTTTTGAAGTAGTAACCTTGAGCATCAGTCAAGCAAGAGAAATGTGTTGTCTCATACCCATGTTGTTCCACAGTCGTGCATGCTATCTTTACCACAGCTCCTATATTTCAAAAACAAAAATTTTCAGGCAAATATCTAGCGAAGTTTGAACAAAATGAGGAGTTACCTCTAAATTTACAAGGATAGAGAATAGTAGTACCTTGGATAGGGACATAATCAGAACCGGATTTGCAAACAACAAGCCCTTCAATGCAAATTGGGAGTAGGCTTTCTGGTTCATAACCTGGCTTGTCGTGGTCTAGTTTTGGTTTGGGCAGGTGGTGTGGCATTGGGATATAATGGTGACCATGATGTGGTAGTTTTGGGATTGTTAACTTTGGTAGATCTACATGTGGTTTAGGGTCATATTCGAAGTTGGGTTTTGGGCCATGTTCGTAACCTGGATTGGCAGTGTTTGGTTTGGGTGTGGTTGGTTTTGGTTGATCATGGTCAGGGTTAGGGATATCATAAGCTGGTTTGGGTTTGGGTCCTGGAACATAACTAGTTTCAGGTTTAACCGTATCTGGCTCGGGGTCATAGCCATAATCAGCATTAGAGGCAATGACCAAAAATGACAATAGGAGGATGGAGATTGCTAAGAAGATATGGTTTAGAGCCATTGTAACGAAAAAAGTGTAAGCAGAAGAAAATGTAATACTATTGTTGATGGGTTAGGTTAGTATTAACATGGGTTTTATATATAGGAAGAAGGGTTCCAATTATTTTATCAATTTAGGGTTTTAAAATTATAAATTGTTGAGAAAGTTGTTTGCACATTGGTAGATGAATAATGTATATACGTGGGTAGCACTTGAATCAATAGACATTACCTTCATATCGGGCACGATCTATTAAGAAGGTGATGAATAATATATATTTGTATCGTAAAAGTTTTTAAGTGGTATATTTTTAATAAATGTTTATTTTTTATTAAAAAAAATTGTTTAAATACAATTCTAAAAATAAGTATTTTAGAAAAAGTAGAAACGTCAAAAAAATACTAATATTGCATAACAATTCTTTGGGACAGAATGAGTAATAATTATATGAAAAAAGCAAGTGAAACATGAAATCCCATGTGAGAAAAAAAAAAAAAAAAAAAAAAAAAAAAAAGCGAGATTGGATTGGCATAAATCAAATTGGCTTTCTCCATTTATTTTTGTTAAATCATCTTTCATTTATTATTAATGGAAATTTGATTCCATTCATGAAAGAAATTGAAATGGCAGAAATACAAATAAAAAGGGTGAGTGTGCATATATATTTGGAAGAGGAGGAGTTCATTGAGAATGGAATTACAAATCTATGTGGGGTTTGCCAAATGTGAATTTGTTCTTTTGTCCAAACAATTCTACGATGGTACCAATTTTTTCAATTAAAACCAATGATTAACATAAAATTATCTTATATAAATAAATCCTTTAATTTTATTTTTTAATGTTAATAGAATACGTGTTGCTGTTTTAATTATTCATATACTTCTCACGTACATTTAATATAGTCTGAAATTGATCAATATAATAGAAAAAAATAATTATAGATCAAAATAAAGATTTGGAACTCAAATCAAAATTAAAATAAAAAATAAAAAGTTATAGATTTTTTTTTCTTTTTGACTAAAAATTCAGAATACTTTATGACCAATTACCATAATTTATTTTATGACGGTACAAATTTTTAGAATTAAAACCAATTATTAACATAAAATATCTTTATATAAACAAAACTTTAATTCTCTTTTTCTTTTTGCCTGGTTTATTAAAGGATCCGTTTGCATCTTGTTCTACAAGAATTTTTTTTTCTTTATGTGGTTTTCCATCTTGCAATTTTAAAATTCTATTTGAAAGAATTTTAATAATTTTACAGGCTAAACTAATAAAATTAGAAATATATAAACGGGGAAGTTCTGATTTTTACAAAGTGAGGAAACGAGAGAAGAAACGAGAGATTGAAATCAATCCAACTCCTTTTGTATTGAATTCAGTCCAACTCTATCTTAGATGATTGACATATATATATATATATATAAACGTCTTTATTGAGGCACCATCTACGAATGCAAGTTGCAAGTAAATTAACAATAATAATTTATTTTTCTTTCACAATAACAGTATTCTTATATCAGTTTACCCATCGATTAAAATTAGATATTTTTTCAAACAATTTTAATAACACATTTTGCACATGGCCTAGTATATTTAAAAATATTAATAAATTTTTCTCGATGCTAGTTTCGAAGTTTAAATTTAAAAAGTTAAAGAAAGGACAAACCCTTAACCACCAAATTAATTAATTAATTAATATCAAATTTACAAGAATATTGCAAAACTATTAAATATTATAGGTGAAATGATAAGAAAAATGTTTTATATCTATCGGTTCACCGATTCGATTCTCACATTTGGGAAATTAGAAAATTAATGGACTATATACATCATACTAAGTACTTTACATCGAATATTATCTAGGCTTAGTTGAACCTTAATGGTGCACTAAGAGGATACATATACATACACCCCTACAGACAGACAGACAGCTTTAGTTGCAACGAATATTAATTTAGAATGAAATCCAGTCAAAATTATTGGATAAAATGTTGTAGGAAATTCTGTCAAACCTTTTTAAGATACCAAATTAACTGAATGAATTATATATGTATATAGCACGCTTGGTTTTGATCGATTACTAAGTTATTTCTTAAGCTAAATCAATCTAAATTTAATATCATTAAAAAATAATTATAACTAATTATTTATAAATAGTAGAAAATGAACATTAATTACGAAAAAAAACTAAACTAAAATCATTATTTACTATTTAAAACACTCGTTCATCCGGACTCATTCGTATTATTCACCTAAACTCGGATGTACTATTCATTTTATTATGTAGTTGTATTTTTGTAGTTTTCAAATATTTTTTAAGATATTTATTATGAAAGTTTTTGTGACATTATACTTTGGTCTCTTTTTTTAAAATATTATTTTTTAGTTCATACATATTTTTTTATTTGATCTTGATCCTTTTTTTTTTTTTTTCATTTTGATCACTTTGGTCTTTTTTTTCTTTGATTTTTTTAATTGAAAATTTTAAGGCAAAAGGATGTTTAAAAAAAAAACAATTTACAAAATAAGGTTTTAACAAAGAATGTGGATAGAAATAAATAAATAATATTTTTTTAATAAAAAATTATGAAAATATAAAGAATAATTAGTCAAATACAAAATTTTGATTAAAAAAATAATAAAATTGAATGAATTTTTATTTAGTTTTGATTTGATATATTTTGATTGACGCACAATATAATAAAGACATCAAAATGAAATAATTTTATGCAGCAGCGCTAGTAAAAATTTAGTTTTGACTAAACCAAAACAACATTTTTACCGTTAGACTACATCCTTTGATAAATGAATTGAATCAACTTCAGTTAAATGAATTGAATTAACTGAAATATATAATTTCATTTCAATGGTAACTAACTTTTTGATTATATATATATATATATATAGTATGACGATTAAAAAAATTTGTCCAACTTCTTGACCATGAAATCAAACCCAATTAGATCTAGAGTTTGGATGCAAAATTGATAATATCACAATAATTTAAAAATATATTTAATGTTTGCTCTAAATCGGAAAAAAATATATAATGACACAATTCATTAATGAAATCAAATCCAGTTCCAAAAGCTAAATATTGGGAGAAAAAAAAAAGAGAAAAGAAAAGGGAACTGAATAATGAATTTAGACTTGGAGAATAAATTTTAGTAACCACCAGCAGGAGTTGAGGTTGATGTAGTTCCTGAGGTGTAGATGAAGGTAGGGTTTATTTATAAATGGTCAAGCTGATCACCAAAAGGAAACAATGTTTTGAAGAAGTAACCCTGTGAATTAGTTGCATCAGTTTATTTAGTGGGGTAAGAAAATTATTTTCTTTTAACAAAGATGGGGCAGAGTGGGTTTATTTATAAATAAATCCAGCCAATTATTTGCTTTTAAAATAAAAATGTCATTATCTTCTATTTAAATAACTATGATACCAATTATCTATTTTTAATTTGGCCATGTTATGATTTTGGTGTACTAAATAGATATCATTGAACTATATTAAACTTGTACGTCTTTCAACATAATATACAATGGCTACTAGATTTGTTAGTTTATAGGTTGAGCTAAATTAAAATTAGAATTGATTTATTTTTACTCAATTCGATTTATTTTTCGGTTTGAATCGGTTAAGTAGTATTTGATAGGGAGATCATCTTATTATTGGATTGGATTATCGATGATGGTGGGTTGTTCTTTGTGAATAAGGATAAAGAGATGGAAGTATGATCATTGTACTTTATTTGGTTGATTTTTGATTTTGGATAGATAAATTTTAACTCAGCTGAAGAGGAAAAGAAGAGGGATACATATGAAAATGAAAAAAAAAATTAATAAATAAATGGAGGGTTTAAGTTGACCCAGTGGAAAGTTGTCGAATCTAAGCTCGGCCCACCTTGACAGAACCGAGCTTGCGGGTCAAAATTTCCCACCAAATCCGGCCCATTAATTTTTGGGCTTGTTCTGGCCCATCAGAACGCCATGTCATGAACACCTCTTATGGTTACAAAGCATAGGAAAAGAAAAGGAAGGTAGATGAATAGAGAAGATTTTTTGATGTTCAACCTTTTTACTATAATTTTTGTTTGTATCCATGCATGCCTTTTTACAACAGTAAATTATAAATTACTCCCCTTAGTTTTCAGAAATTAATTAATTAGTTTTTATTATTTCAAAAACTAATTAGTTAATTTTTATATTTTTAAATTTTATTATAACTTAATCATTTTTTCTTTTTTTTCAATTTATTTTTTTTTGTTACTTTAAACAATGGGAAAAAAAATGAAAAATATAATTTTTTTTAAGATAAAGTAATTTTAAATTAAATAAGGTTAACATTTCATTAAGAAATTAAATAATTAATTTTAAAAAACTAGTTATTTTTTCTCAACAAATAAAAGGACTAAGTTATGGCTCAATCTTGTTTAGATGGCAACTCCTTACTTTTAGATGGGTATTATTATTTTCCAACAACATGATATGCAAAACATTATAATATTAACTTTATATATATATATATATATATATACATATATATTAAACAAATGATATTGACATATTTCTTATGCATCACAATATAAAATCATAAAATATATATCGGTGAGTATTATTTTTTTTAATAGCATCAAAATTAACAATTTACACAATTAGTTAAAATATCTTTAAAAAAAAAGTCGTGAACTTTTGCCTAAAGACAGAATGACGGGACTCAACAACGAACGGCTTGAAAGCGAACATGTGTATGTAAAATTAGCCAATGGCAACTTGCCAAGTAGCAGACAAGAATATCCCAAAAAGGTGATGATGGGTTAGAGATGATCCTGGTTGCTACGTGGCACAATTTGACTGCGAGTATAGTTCCATTGTAAATCCAATTTTACGAAAGGGGCAATGTGATTCGCTGTCGTTTCCTAGACAATCCAGAGGCGCTTCGTGTCGTTATACTCTTCTGTTTTGTTCTGACATCTGTCATCTTACTCGTGTCCACGTAGTAACCTTCACTTCCTTATTGTTTGCCCCTTTCCTCCTTCAATATTACGTTATAAGCCACTTCATTTTTCAAAAATATTCTTATTGGGATATTAAATAATTATTATTTTATATAATAATTTTATAAGCGTTGCCACCAAATTCTATGCCAAAAAAGGAAACATTAAATTATAAATTAATGCCTCTCATTTTGAAAAATGAATTAATTAGTCTCTCTTTATTTAAAAACTATTTTTTTTTTGCTTTGCAATTTATTTGTAATTTAATTTTTTTGAATTTATTTTGATTTTTTGTTTTGAAATATAAAAAAATATAAAAATATTGATGAGAAAATAAGAGTTTTTATAAAATAAAAATAATATTAAATTAAACATGATCAATACTTATCAGATAACTAAATAATAGTTTTTAAAACAAGAATGACTAATTTGTTTCTTGAAACCAGAAGGATTTTATAATTTATTCAAAAAATGAAGGTAAATATAGATTTAGTGCACAAATGATTTTTAAATAATGTCTTAAAGGCATTGGTTAGTTGGATCCTATCATTTTTTCACACTAGATAGAGTAAATATGTTCATATATATATATATATATATATATATATATATATATATATATATATATATATATATATATATATATATATATTCCTTTTTAATTCAAATTAGAGATGGGAAAGTGAAGAGAACTAGTATTTATTATCTAAAGTTTAAATTTTTTTTTTAAATAGTTAAGTATCAAAATAAATTATCAAATACAAGGAAATTTCCATTTGCATCGATTTTGAATTTTTTTAATTTTTTTTTTATCTCAAGTTTTGTCATATTGTTTATGCGTTCAATGTTTAGGACATTTATCTAGAAGAATATATTAAATTTAATTTTGATTGATATATAAATTAGTTTAAAAATGTTTTTATCGTCCAACAAAAATAAGTCTTTATTTTATTTTATTTTTTTCAGATATTTTTATTTTAAATTAAAAATAAGATTAATTCTGTTTGAAATCGAACGATAAAATTTATTTTTTTCAAAAAATATAATTTAAATTTATAGAAAATTCGCTTGTCAAGTTTTGTCATATTCAATATGTTTATTTATTTATTTTAGTTACTGTATCTAATTTTTAAGACATAAATCTTGAAGAATATATTTATTCTATCAAATGCATCACATTGATGCAGTGGAGTGTTATATCGTTATGATTGTTTGAAAATAAATTTAGTTTTAATTGATGTATAAATTAGTTTAAAAATATTTTTATCGTCAAATAAAAATAATTTTTTTTATCCTATTTTTTTTTTCCAGATGTTCATATTTCATATTAGAGATATAATTAATTTTTCACAAATTTATCGTCACATATTTTTAAAAGATAGAAGCAACAAGATTTAATTTTTTTTAACAAATTTAATTAAAAAATTCGAAATTTGGACGTCAATAGAAAATTCTTTCAAACTAACTACTCCAAATACTATATTTGGATTAGAATCTTTTAATATTCAAATCTGTAATATTAACGTGACAAAATCAAATTGTGATTTGGTCACGAAAAAAACAGTAACAACTCGATCTATTTGCTTGTAATTTTATTCATTCATTAATACTCCCAAAGACCGAAAAAGGTCGTTTGTGGTCTTCCTGAATTTAAACCCCAATTCCAACGTTTTTAGACCACCCACCGCTCACCTCTCTCTCATCCCCTCTCAAAACCTCAGCTCCACCAACCACCTAATATGGCGGCAGGTCTCAGCGCCCCCACCGTATCCAAACCCTCCTGGTACGCCTCCACCTCTCTTCTCATTCCAAAATCAATAACACAAGCCTCACTTTCCCTTCCTCCAATTAGACACCAAAACTTTTTACACTACGGATTAAAAGTTCCAAGAAAAACAAGCTTTGCTGTTTGTTTTGTAGTTGAAGATCAAACGAAACCAATTAGTGCCCATCTCGAGAATCAACAAGAAGAAGAGCCTAAAGGAGTCAATAAAAATCAGATCTTGACACCTCGCGTGGCTGAAAGATTGGCAAGAAAGCAAAAAGAAAGAGATACTTATTTGGTTGCTGCTGTTATGTCTAGTTTTGGGATTACTTCCATGTCTGTTATGGCTGTTTATTACAGGTTTTATTGGCTCGAGGTACCTTCTTTCTTCTCCTTTCCTGTTTCAAACTATAGAGTATCCTCAGACCATCTTTCGTATTTGTTCATGAACTCTAAATTTTGTTTGTGGATGGCAACAGGGAGGGCAAGTGCCTTTGTCTGAAATGTTTGGTACATTTGCTCTTTCAGTAGGTGCTGCTGTAAGTATCAATTTCTTTCTCAATTTGGGTTATTTTTTGAAAAATCATTTCTTGGGTTCCCTTTGTTTTCCCTTAATTCAGGCTAATTTGCTGCTTTTTTTTTTTTTTTTTCAGGTGGGGATGGAATTTTGGGCAAGATGGGCTCATAAATCACTTTGGCATGCTTCTTTGTGGCATATGCACGAGGTAATGCTAATGCCATCCAATTCCCATCTAGTTTCCATGAAAATGCAAGAAAAGTTCAAATTTTTAAAGCAAGAAACACTCAAGTTGAGTTCTTTTGGTGAATAATTTGTGTATTTTTATTCTTTCGCAGTCTCATCATAGACCAAGAGATGGTCCATTTGAGCTAAACGATGTATTTGCCATAATCAATGCAGTCCCAGCAATTTCCCTTCTTGCTTATGGTTTCTTTAACAAAGGCCTTGTTCCTGGTCTTTGTTTTGGTGCTGTAAGTCTCATGTCTTTCCATTCTCTCTCCAATCGTTCCTGGTCTGCTACATTATCATTGATTTATTATCATTCCTTGTTGAATAAGGAACCTAACTAATGGCAAATTAATTAATTCTTAATTGTAAGACTATTGACCAGAGAAATTCAACTTTGTAAATCTCAAATCTGCCCTTTATTTTTGTTGACTTGGATTAACAGGGTCTAGGAATTACAGTGTTTGGCATGGCCTATATGTTTGTTCATGATGGTCTTGTTCACAAGAGATTCCCAGTAGGTCCCATTGCTGATGTCCCATATTTCAGAAAGATAGCAGCAGCTCACCAGGTAAATATAATAATATGCACACCAGTCACTATTATTTGATGATCAACTAATTTATTTATTATTTATTATTTTTGTGTGTTTCCAAAATCTGACAATCAAGATATTTGTTTTGATTTTGATGTTGGTTTTTAGATCCACCATTCAGAGAAATTCAATGGTGTCCCATATGGCTTGTTTCTTGGACATAAGGTGAGTTTCTGGGACCTTCTCTTAGGTTTAAGTTTGTAATTTTATTTGTCTTTACATGATACTAAATTGTAAAATATCCCTTAAACTGAACTAAAAAATTCTTGATTTTGTTTTCTAAATAATATGATTTTTTGAATTTGCCGATTTCGTTAGGGTTTTGCTGAGAAATTGACGTAAAAATCTACAAAAATCCCTTCAATTCCTATCATTTTCTCTACCAACTTAGGAAAACATGTATGCTAATGTAGAAAAGAGACGAATTGAGAGGATTTTTTAGAGCTTTTCTGTCAATTTCTCAATAAAATCCTAAGAGAAGGGGGAATTCAAAAAAATCATATTGTTTTAGGAGGAAAAATCAAGGATTTTTTTAGATTAGGAATGGTTGGAGGAATTTGTCAATTTAGCCTATAGATAAACATGAAGATTAATAAAATTTATTTTTTGTTTATGATATGCAGGAAATTGAGGAGGTTGGAGGCCTAGAAGAATTGGAAAGAGTGATCAATGGAAGAAGCAAATCATACAAGGGGTTGTGATTAGTTAATCAGCCAAATTGGGAACAATTTTGGATCAATTCTCAATGTTAGAGACACATCAAAGTCATTAATCAGAAAATAATTTTAGTTTGATTGCTATTTTTCATGTCCCACAGTAAGAATTTAGATATGTAGGATGACTGTATTAAATGTGGGAACTATATAGTAAAAAAATTAAAAAATATTGCAAATCTCATACTTTTGTAGTATCCACATATGTTTGATCCTCAAATGATTGAGCATTGCTATTTATTATCACACCAGAAGCTTGTAATTGTGTGTTTGTACAAATATCCTTATTGTAATGAAGAAATTAAGATACCTTCCATTATGTTTGGACAAATAATTAGTTTTTTCATACTCATTTTTATCAACTTTCAACGTTACTCAATTTTTATACAGGGTTTTTTCATATTTAGAACTTATATTATTTTAATTTTTTTATTAAATCGTCGAGAAATTTTATATTACTCATGGAGTAACTAGTGTAAGTTATTTCATATAAATGGAGTAACTAGTGTAAGTTATTTCATATAAGAGAAATAGGTAATAAAAGAGAGAGAGAGAGAGAGAAATAAGAGAAATATTTTTTTAAAAAAAATCATGTGAAATTTTTTTTATCATTTTTAGTAAGTCTGTATGTGATTTTTTTTTTTTTTTTTTTTTTTTTTTTTATGTTATTACTTCTCTCTCCAAAAGTAGATGTGATTTTTTTATTTATCTTTATTCAAAAGTAGGTTCATAGAATAATTATTCTACAATTACATTAATTATTCTAAGAGTATTTTAAAATTTCTCTAAAACATTTTTTTTTTTTTTAACTTCAGACTTTCTATTATAAAACCACCAATCAATAATCGATGATTAGTAATGTTAGAATAGAAAGTCTGAATGTAATTATTTCTTACCTCTATTCTTTCAGATTTTCCTAAAATCCATTTTTATACTGTCAACTTACAAAATTCCTTCTAAATTTTGGATGGGCAGCATTTTTTTTTATGTTATTATCTCTCTCTTTAAAAGTAGATGTGATTTTTTTTTTTTATCTTTCTTTAAAAATAGATTCATAGAATAATTAGTATACTATTACATTAATTATTCTAAGAATATTTTAAAATTTCTCTAAAACTCTATTCTTTTTTTTTTAACTTCAGACTTTCTATTATAAAATCATCAATTAATAATAGACGTGTTACATCTATTATTTAAAATTTTTTATTTTATAATATCATATGTTAATTAGTACTATCACAACAGAAAGTCTGGATGTAATTATTTCTTATCTCCATTCTTCCAGATTTTTCTAACATCCATTTTTATACTGTCAACTTGCAAAATTCCTTCTAAAATTTGGATGGGCAGCATTGTTCCTAACAAGTGATTGGCACTCTCCCTCCTTTTAGTGCTATCAATGCCTAAGGAAATTTAAGGAAAACGAGAAAGTCCCAATCAACATGTGCACAGCCAGCATGTCATGGAGCTTAAGGTTTTTGTCTGACTCGTTCATTCACATATGGTGATTGCTATAGGTGAGGTTTTTTTTTTTAATTAAATTTAGCACTTTCAAAGTCCAAAAAATGGCGTCAAAGGAGACCCTCGGTTGGTAGGCAGACTTGAAAGGATAGGGTAGGCCCAATGACAACTTCCTTCAACCCTAAAGATATCTACCAAAAAATTAGAAAAATCAGTAAAAGCTAGCTAGGAAGTCTACACACTTCTTGACGACGAGTATATTTCACCATCAAACCTTCGACCTAACAATGTTAATTAGTCACAAGATACCTTTTTGGGTCACACAAATGGACATGTGACATTACATAAATGTATTTCTTTTTTTTTAATCTTCTAAGGTATACTAAGCGTAAACAATCAGACTAATTTATTATTATTCTGTCGAGTCTATAAAATAATAATAATTATTTAGATAATTTTTTACATACATAAAAACTTAAACTCGAAATAACTTATTTAAAAGACTATAACTCATTTTACTCAAATCAATCTTTTTAAATAATAAATGCACTTCTAGTGAAATGTTTATTTAGAGTTCATTTAGTGTCATTTATTGTTTTTTTTTTTATGTTTTAATTTTTTGGGAAGAAAAACATAAAACTTGATTTTTTTTCTTGGGAGGGAAAAAAAAGAAAAAAAAGAAAAAAGGCAACTATCTATGATTGAGAGCAATTCCAGGACTGTATGTAGGAGTGATCAGTGACCACTTCCTTCAACTCTCATTGGTCCAAAGATATCTACCAAAAAACTAAAAAAATTAGTAAAAGCTCGCTAGGAAGTCTACACACACTTCTTGACGACAAGTATATTTCACCATCAAACCTTCGACCGAACTATGTTAAGTAGTTACTAGAATCCTTAAATATAATTTTCACGTGTGATATTATAATAAATGGACTTCTCTTCAAATGTTTATTTAGAGGTCATTTAGTGTCATTTATTGTTTTTTTTTTTATGTTTTAATTTTCTGGAAAGAAAAACGTAAAACTTAATTTTTCTTCTTGAGAAAGAGAAACAATTGCAACTATCTACAATTGAGAGCAACTCCAGTATGAAGGGATGATCATTCGATCTTTTAGTTTGATTTCGTTTTTTTTTTTATTAATTGAATTGACTTAAAATAAAAATTGAAATCGAACAAAATTGAGGTTTTGCTTTTCGATTAAAAAATTGAATTTTTTAGTTCGGTTTTTTTATTTTAGGTTAAAAATTGATTTTTTTTTTTGCATATTTTATTTTGAATTTTAAATTTTCTCTTGAACTAAGCTGAAATGTCACTTTTTTATAATTTTTTTCAATTTTCAAGGAATACTAATAGTTTGAATTGAAGTTTTAGCCCTCAAAAAATAAAAAAAAATCATACGAAAATGCTATGAGCTTTGGGTGAGTGTATTAAAAAAAAAAAACTAATTCGGTTTTTGATGAAAACTATTTTTTTAAAAAAAAAACCAAAACAAAATAATTTTGATTTTCAGTTTCGTTTTCTTTTTTTCAAATTTTTTTATAAAACCGAACCAAAATTGTTAATGCGGTTTGGTTCGATTCAATTTTTCAATTTTAATTAAATAGTACTCACTCCTAATCCTAATTTTATGCATGCACTTTGCATTAACTTCAATTAACATCATCCTCAAATTCTATGTATCAAACTTCATTTTCCTTTTAGTTCTTTTGTTCAAACATCAATATCTGCCTTCTTATTTGCCAATGCAACCATTATGCCCCTTGTAAATTTTACTTTCCTATTCCAAATTTTTCAAATTGCAACCGACAATCTTTGATCTTTCAAGTTGTGATTCAAAGCAAGCAACCAATCAATTGACAGTTGATAAATGTTAACGTGAATGGTTAATCTATTTGATGATGAGTAAATGAAAATCACTAATCAGTAAAATTTAAAAAATTTTATAATACTCAAAAAGTTATCGGTGTACATATATAATTATTATTTTATGAATTTATTTTTGAGAATATATATATATATATATATATATCACATCCAAATCGATAAAAAAATAATGAAAAATTAATCTACTTTATAAAGAATCATATTTGAATCCATAAAAAATGATAAAAAGATAAACACTAGTTACTTGTTAATATTATAAAATTTCTCATAAATTCGAGCTTCTAATATTTCAAAAATAAAATCGTCAATTAAGAAAATGAAATATAGACGACCTTATATTTATTTTGTGCATCACCTCAAAAATCAAGATAATCTTGTGCAGTTAAATTAACTTATTTGAAAATAATTTTACTGTGATCAAATACTAGTACTGTAACTAATTATTTATAGAGAGCTACATTGAATTAAGCATTAATATTGCCACAGATCTAAGATGAAAGATATTCCACTTTCATCGGCTATGCTGTGATCTCAATGACAAGCAAATCCACCCTCAGCCAACCAGAATGTTTTGACATCTTCGTAATACAATCAATCCAAAAATTATTTACGTATGCCTTCCAATCACATTCTTTTTAATCTTCTAACATTCAGTTGAACCTTTCATCATCCAACTTCGATCTTGTTGGTCTCAAACGAGGAAAGGAAACGATGACATGTATCCAAAAATAGCCTATTATCCCATGGGAATGAGTGTCTGATGTGGAGGGGACTCTAACTCCATTATTGATTCAAATATCATGGATGTGTCAAAGTGCTAGAGGTCTGATATCACTATAAGAAATTAAAATATAAGATCTACGCATAATATTTACAACACGCATTATAAAAAATAAGGAAAACGCCCGGTTCATTATTATTATTATTATTATTATCTCCAAGGCATCCAAGCTCAAAAACTTATACTAATGTATTAGTGTTGTGTCAGATATACAAAACAAGCATAATTATTAAAACCGTTTTTTTGGATATACAAAGACTCGGATGCAAAATTACTTGTTTAAACGACTAAAGCTTTTTTTACTCAATTCAATTCTCTTGAATCTCAATTATATAATGAGTTAAATATTTCATCTATTTTTGTATCGTAAAACGAATTAATTATATTTTTATATTTTAAATGAGATTTTAATTATTTTTTTGGTGAATATTTCTAACTAAATCACCGAAAAAATCATGTGACTTATATATAACTAATTTTTTTTAAAAAAATATCCATCAAAAAACAAAAAAACATGACTTGCATCTATTATTGTCTAAGTTTTCCAAGGTCTAGGAAAATTAAATCCAATGATGCTATACAATCCTCGTTAGCATACATTCATAAAACATTTCAACACGATCGAGAACTTATTATTTGCTAAAATTTCTTGGGGATAAAGGTCACACAATTAATAAACCATAGTTTGACCAAAAAAAAAACACTAATTAGGTCATTTGTAACTATCACCGACGGTTTACATAATAATAAAATGATATCCAATCACATTTTTTTTTTGAATTTGTTAACGAAGAGTTGAACCTTTCATCACCCAACTACTACATGTTGGTCTTAAAAGAGGAACGTGAGCAATGACACGTATATAAAAATAGCGTATAGGAATTCTCTTACTAAATTATAAATTAATCTTTCAATTTTTTAAAAGGAATTAAATAATCTTTTTATTTTTAAGAACTAATTAGTTAGTCTCTATATTTTTAAATCTCTTTATTTTAATAAATAAAAATACTAAAAATTGATGAGAACATAAAATATTTTTGTAAATAAAATAATATATTAAATTAATCATAATTAATATTTATGAAGTAATATGATTAATTAGTTTTTGAAATAAGATATTTTTATAAAAATCCCTCGGATTCCTGTCATTTTCTCTACCAACTTAGGAACACATGTTTACTAATATAGAAAAGAGTGGAGTTGAGAGGATTTTTAAGAGCTTTTCAGTCATTTTTTCAATAAAATTCTAAGAGAAGGGAGAAATTAAAAAAAAAATCTTATTGTTTTAGGAGGGAAAATCAAAGATTTTTTTTTTAAAAAAACTAATTTATAATTTACTCATTGAATTTCCCCATGAAGGTTTGGTGTGGTGATGACTCAACTCTACTCCATTATTGATGATCTTTCCTCTTATGAAGTCTCCAATAATTTTTTAGATCATGGGCTACGTGTTAACTCTTCAATTGCACAGACCATGCCCCATCTTGCAAACCCAACTTTCCCAAGAAAAGAAGATGAAAAGAAATGTAATCTTAGTGGCCGTGCACTTCACTTTATAGCTAGTAGAGACGAAGACTCACACTAATAATCTTCTGTGCTTGACATCATCATCTTACACTTGTCAAATATTAGGGAAAATTCACATCACACGTAGTTATAATCTTATCAATTAACCAAAAAGGTCAGAAACAACTATATCTTCTTTGGATCAAATCTTAGCAATTTGATTGTAAATTAAACTATAAAATATTTGTTCCGAGATCAAAGTTGATTGGTTTAGCCCAATAGATAACCCTTTTTCTCTTCTTTAACATTTGATTTTTGACCTTAACGTAAAAAGATGCAACAAAAGATGGTGGCCAACAACAACAATCTAATTTGATCAATCATGTTGCTCGAAACAGTAGTCATCTGGTAATCTAGGAACGGTTGGTTGGTTTACTGTTTGAGAAACTTGTCAAAGCCAAAAAGACATTGTTGAGACGTGTAGGATAATGCATGAAGCAGAAAGGAAATACATTCCTTTTGGGTTGACGGGATTGAAATTACGACGCTAGTTGACTCTTCGTTGCACGAGCTTTGGTTGGTTCAAAAAGCAAAAATATTCTCTCCCATGTTTGTCCCATTCACTTACAACGAAATGACCTTAATCCTTCCTTGCCTGTATTCTTGTGGAGTGATCTTGATGAATTGTTATCCTATCGTGCTATTCCTGACAAGATGCTTTATGTTATTTTGGTCTGAACCTTTCAAATATAATGAATAGTTAAGATTTGTTAATCATAACGAACCATAGTTTATCTCTATTTTCTTAATTTGTCAGGCTGGTTCTCGTATTATTAATTGAGTCAATCAAATTGTCATTAAAAAAAATAAAAATTTGAGTCAATCAAATTTCATATTATACAATTATAGTTAAATAAAGCTAATTGATCATCAAAGAATATGATCAGACGGTAAAAAAAAATCTTTATTTAATCAAAATCAAAATTTAATTTTTATTATTTATGAATAATTAGTTATAATTATTTTTAATGATATCAAACTTGAACTTATTTGGCTAAAGAGGAGTCTAGTGGTTTATCAAATATGGAGTGTCTTCTAAGTAAAAAAGGATGAATTAGGTGTGACAATCAAATACTCCACTCCATGTACCTACCAAAGTGGGAAAAAAGGGAGCCAATTGAAGTAGTTAGCAAGATTTTGAAAATCGAGGACTGATTTGTTAATGAGCATATAGATTAGAAACTATTTAATTGATCATCTTCTATTTGTTTTTTTCTTTTCTTTTTAATTTTGTAATTAAACATATTTATCCATATGTTGCATGAATATTGACTAAATTAGTGTTAAAAGATTTTTTTATTTAAAAATTGTGATGTTGTCTTTTGCAAGCTATTCTCGATAAAAATAATAAAAAAATATATATTTTAAAAAAATTGTGATATTGTCTTTTGCAAGCTATGCTCGATAAAAATTATTAAAAATTAATTTTTTATATCATTCTCTCAATCATCAAGTTAACAAAATGATATAAAAAAAACTTTGTTTTACTATTAACTTATTTAATATTTCATTTTCTTCGAAAATAAACTTATATGTAAAAAGAAGTCTGCTTTATTTTTATTTTTCTTTTTTCTTTTTTTCTAATACTTGATATTTTGTTACTATATGTAAAAAATTTCTTTAAATAAGAGAAGTTTTAGCCTGGTGGTTAAAGAAGTTTGCTTTTTTTTTTTTTTTTTTTTTTTTTTTTCAGACTAAAACTTTAGGATCACAATTCAGAGAGGCATGCTATTTAAAATAGTTGTAAGAAAAATTTAACCTCGATTGATACACAAACTGACTTGAGTATATCTTTATCCTAAAAAAAAATGAAGAGAAAGTGGATACTTTATTTGTTAAGTAAAAAAATAAAAATAAATTCTATTTAGACCTTTTATTTTCTTAATTCAAAGATCAAGCACATAATCTCCAACCTATATATTCCTTAACCAATATGCGCCTAACCTTTAAAATCTTGCTAATTGGTCATATTTTACTGCAAATGTATATATAACATATTATGGGTTCAAGTGACTCAATTCATAACAAATGGACTAAATTGACGGATCGATGATAAAATAGGAGGCAAATTATGAGTTTAAACATTAAGATTACTGGTTAATATTTTCTTAATAAAATACTTAAATTAAGCTATTTTATATCACTACTTATCTTTAACACACAATTTTAAATTTGTAATAGAAATTTCAAAAAAAAAAAAAAAGAAAGAAAGAAAGAGAGAGAGAGAGATATCAAAACAAATATGAAAAAAAAAAGGTGTTTTTTCTTGTCTTGCTCAAGAGCTTTCTTAACTTCAACTTAAAAAAAATTATATAAAAAATTTAAAAGTATGAATTAAAGGAAAGTATTAACACATAATTGTTTTATTTTAGTGCTTTATTAAATAAATTTTCACCAATCAAATCAAATCATAGCCATTTATTTATTTTTAAGAGCTCAGATTAAAATTTGGGCCTAGCCCATGTCTAATTCATTGTTTTTTGTTAGAAATTGTGTTGGATAAAGGGGAAAAAGGAAGCCTTATCTCCTAGATTGGGCTTAGCCCAAGTCTAACTTTTATATGGTCCTTCCATAGAGCTCAAAAGGTTTTCAATCAGTTTCAGCCCAAGTCTAACTTTGCGCATAGCCCATGAGGTATGTTCCCTGTTGATTCTCGAGTTTCGTGATAGAATTGCGAGAGTTACAAATTGGACATTTAATTTACATATATTGATTTTTCTTTGAAAGAGAGGAGGTTTGTTGCTTCCTTGGATTATCATCTTTAAGGATGACAATAAGCAGTTTATTAATTTAATTTTTTTATTCTATTTATTAAAAAATATACTTTATTTATACACATTAAGAAATTATATTATAAATTTCTATCTCGTTCATATCCGATTCATATCTAGTTTATTTATTTATTTAAATATCCGTTAAGAATATTTTGTCAAAATATTTTATTTGTTTTTATCATTCTCAAAAAAGTTATTTTTCAAATTAAAATTTTTGTCTTTTAATTATAAGTTTCTTTTTCTATCACTACCTGTTTTTCTTCACAAAAAAAAAAAAAAAAGTTTTCTAATTTAAATCCTCAACCTTTCTTTTGGTCCCCAATTAGGTTTTTCTATTTTACTGACCAATCTTAAACAACATGAGTGACATATAGAGCTATTAGAATACCGACACGTATTACGGAAGTTCTAAATATAAAATATATTTATCGTTTTATGACTTTACGTGTATTTTACGTGCATCCAATGTAAAATGAGATTGGTTAATATAACAAAAAGATTTAATTATATATATATAAAAGATTGAACTCAAATCAGAAAAAAAAAGGTTAAAAACTTCTCTTGTTGACTAATAGATCTGCAGTATTGTTAATATAGTTTCAATATAGATCTGCAGTATTTTAAACATATAGGCAGAAGTCAATGAAAGATTCTAATGAAGAATTTGTGCAAAATTATGCAAATTCTACTCTCATTGACCTATTTCTCTGGAATGGAGGCTACATTGAACGTGCAGATTCCTTGTTGGATCATATAAAATGTGAAACTGAATTGGACTATTCAAACAATGTATCAATTGCAAGTTCAGATCTATGTGCTAACAACTACAAGGTAACAATTTATGGAATTGCAATTTATTTCAATCATAAATCAATTTGCAGGTTATTGCCACATTGATAACTTGAACGTCGATCAAATACCAGAGTATGAATCAATTGATCGTTTGAAGTCACACTTAAACAATTTCACGGGCACTCTTGATGTTTTCAGATGGTGGCCACGGATGCCATGTATATGATGATCATGCTCACCATCCAACAGATTTCTCTGCTGCTCTTCAAGCAGACCATCAGATGTTCCAATTCAAGTCTCTTTTTGTAGTATTCCAGCCCACAGCTTTAAATCACAGATAGTTGAAAAAACAGTCACAGTCATGCCGGATCACGACTTACTATAATACTAAAATAATGATAACGAGACGTACCGAAACTGTTACATAACAGCCATTGTATAAAGGCCATTATTTAAGATTATGTTCCAGCCACATAAATACAGGTAAGGACCATGATAAATGCAGTTGCTTTAGTCATTTTATATAGCTGTTTGCAAGACACCATGCCAGACTACAGTTTTTCTGTTACTTCCACAGTGCTGCTTAAATCCCACTCTTTTTTATCTAAATGATTTGCTTGTTTGTGAAAGAAAAAAGCTCATCTTCCTGGTTACTGTCGATGAAGATCTGTCATTTTTTCAAGAGAAATCTGTTACCACGGAAATGAGACCGAATTGTGCTTCGACAATCATACAGTCATTCACAAGATAGCCCGTGGATGGATCCTTGAGAGTACTTAGCAACATGAACTCTCTGAAACCCCACCCTTGGCCTGGTGTATCAAAACAATATTCGACTGCAAAAGAACCATAGAATTGATGATTATTTTAGGAACACAGACGGCGTTGTGAAAATTAAAATGTCAAAAAAAGTCTGTGCATCAATAAACCTTTTATTTCGTAGTGATTGTGGTTTGAGTGATGATTTATTCTGAGCAACCATTTTGCGTACAGTTTCCTGCTGTTTTGAAGAGTTTCCGAATCATCTAAACAGAGAAAAAGAGAGAGATGTGTCCCTAAAGCATTTAAATCTCCTTTGGGATAAAGGTGCAGCTTCCTGATGAATTCAGTAAAAAAACTTTTGAGAGAGGCAAATGGTCACTTATGCAATCTAAGCAAATGACAACTTGTTAACCATGCAGAAAATCTAAACATACCATTTTCTTCCTTCAACAGTAAACACCTGAGAGTAGCAGGCATGCTTATGCAAAGCTGAAAAGTTATCAATCTTCTAAGTGCATAGACCACTTTCAGGTTCTTTGACTAATGAAAGACTCTCTCCTGCACAAGAGATTTTGATAACAGATACCTCCACTCCCAACAAGATTCGGCCTTGAACTTATGAAAGCGCCAGTTATCTGAACACAAAAGGTGCAGGGTTGACAAAAGTTGAATTGGAAAATTACAAAACAGTTGCACTTTTGATCCTTGTCTTATACCTTGAACAGCCAAATATCTGTCACGAATTCCATCGTACACAAAGAATGTGGCAGCAACGTTAACCTCCCAACCGAGAGAAACACCAGCAGGTTCTGAGATTGCCAAGAATAAAGATATGTGACGGCTGCCATATTCCTTCTTTTTCCCCTTTGGGTAGAGGACCATTCTCCTTGAAAACAATAAATGTAAATACACAGACAGGATTGTCAGACCTGAAAAATATTGAAAAAATAAATTGACATGGAAGATGAGTTATGATCGATCAGAACAAACCAATTGTAGCCACCAGCTTCAAAATCTTTAGTTTCATACTTTTCCAATTTAGTCTCTAACAGTGAAGAGAATGACTCAATCTCAAAAGTATAGTGTGTTGGTGGAAGTTTTCTAAATCTTTGCTTTTCTGCAAGCCAAGATTCCAGATTGTGTCGTTTGTCAGTGTATGTATATGTCTATGTGGATGAAAGAGAGATTAATGGTAAAAGAAGAACTGAGAACTCAAAAAACATACTATTTTCGTCAATGGTTGCATTGAAAGTGTCGTCTTCCATGTCCAATTCCCTTTCCATAGCTCAGCCTTATCCCTGTACTATCAAAAATAGTGTGTTTTTATATACATGAGAAGTTTTCTAAAAACCAGAGAATATATAAGATCATGACTACTGATGTTTCAAGAAGTTAGTTGTAAACCAAAAGTCCTAAAGTTTGAATCCATCCGACCATTGAGTTTCCCTCTACAAAAAATGATAAGTACAAGTTCTATTCCTAAAAAGTTCATCAAATGCTAGCCCCTTACTGCTCTAGATCCAAAGTATAGTGGATTGAGCTATAATCAATATCCCCATAATCTTTTAGTATTTTAGTGGGAAGATTGTCTTGTAATCCTAGCTGTCTCCTCTTAGCCCACTTAATTACCACTATTTGGCTGATCATCTTCTCATTTTCCATTATGGTAGCGAGCAAGCTTTGTCAGAAATCTCACCTTTTTCCTGGCTGGTGTGGATATTGCTGTTGTCTGTCATCTTCAAACAATTTTTAGTTTAAGAATAGGCAAACATTCTGTCTTCTACTTTTGGTGAAGACTTAGGTTCCTTTAATTTCTGAAAATTTGTCAAACGATGCTTGCTAGCTTCACATTGATAAAACTACATATCGTATAGATAGGCAGACCTCTATTTATCGTTCTTATGCTGGCAGCCTTTTATCATTTCATTCTTTATGGCTGCCTTAAGCTCCATAACTTCATAAGATCCAGGGAGCTGAAAAGTTAAGGATGGATACCATTCTTTGTCCCCAATTCCTGCCCACATAAAACTGTGCGGTTCTCAAAACCTTATGCAGCTTCATTGCAGTTACATCTCCAGCTCTTGCAACATTGCTGATCAAAACTGAAATTAAGATACTGGACCAGGAGATAGATGTTTTGACATTTTGAAACCATTTATTGTCTTTTTAAAAAAAGATTCTGCCCCATTTAATTTAATCAAACAAAAAATTGCAACATGATCAAACTTGATTTGAAGTTTCAGATTGAAGAGGAAGAACTTATAACTAGCCATCGGGTTTGAATGCTTCAGATAATCGCCAGTTACAGAACTTATGTTTATGTAGAACATTCAGATGACAAGAAGTTTTTAGCAAGACTACATTTTCTGATAGTAATTAACTGCTCAGATTCTGTAGAAGGTATTGTACTTGGAAATCTTAAGCAAAAATCTAGGTAGATTAGGTTTGAAGTAGAGTGGCAAAGGTCGAAGATCTTTGTTCAATGGCACAGGAGAAGAAATAATAAGAAGAGAAGACAAGTTGTAAGTTCAAATGCTCAATGCATGCCATGCCAGACAACAGGAATTTGCTTCGAATACATAAAATCACTAAAACAGTTATACTTAATGATTTAGTTCAAGGCGAATATCTCTTTTTTTTTATAGAGAAATCTTTAACCACAGAAATAATAATAAACTTTGTTTCGATCATCAAACAGTCATCAGCTAGGTAGCCCTTGGGTTGATCATCAAGAGTTGTTAGCGACTTGAAATCAGACAAACCTCACCCCTTTCGGAAGGCATCGAACTTAAATTAATATACAATAAAAGGATCATGATCATAGTTTTAAATCACAAATGGTAGAAAAAACAATTATAATCACCATCGTAGATCGTATCTTATTATAATACTAAAATAACGATAACGAGATACTTTAAATCGTTATGTAACAATCGTTATGATCGTGATACATCTTTTTCTTTGGTCTATGAACATGTTTCACTTGAATGTCGAAAGCATAAAAATTAACTTAATAAAAAAAAGTCAATGAAATTTAAAATAAGAATTTAGTCCATTTCATTTTTATAATTTTGTAATCTAATACATTAAGTTTTGATAATAAGAATTTAGTCCTTGACTAGAGTTAGATTGTTAACCTTTTTAAGCTATCCAAATTGCCCTCTTAAAACGCCATTTTCTAGTAAGTGAAATTGGAAAAACTAACTCTAAACGACAGACATTTTAGGGGAAAAAAAATTGAATTGTAATAAATAAATAAAAACTAACTAAAGGATTAATTTATAAACAATTGTAAAATGGAGACCTCAATTTAACAAGACTTCAATGAAGCAGAGGATTCATTCATAGAACAATAACAAAATGTTATATGCAATAGAGCTTCCATAAGATTAAAAAAAAAAAAAAAAACAAATGGATGAAACTAATCTTTTGGTATTTGAAATTCCAACTGTGGACAGCAATACAGATAAGGGTTAGTTCTAGCTCTGAAGCTTGTTGCTTGAACAGCAGAACAAAATATACTACTTTTGATGTGCTGGTTCTTGAGCTGCAGCATCTCTCTTGAATTTGCAAAACCATCTTTTTCAATTCTTTTTTTCTACCTACAATTGGTGCTTGACCTTCGCCCCCACATTTTAATTTCCTTAGAGCTGAACCAGCTCTTGAGAGTCTCATGATCCTGCCAACAGAACCATCACAAAAAATAAAGTTATCACTCAGCATCAAATTATGGACGTCAGCATTTTTGTTTTTAATTTTGTTGTTGTTTAATCTTTAACAACGTAGGCAGAAATCTCAATTCAATAGATCTATAGCATATATAATAGAAACTTTTCTCTGATAGAAAAAAAGAAGAAGCCAATATAGCATCATGGTTAATAAATCAGTGAAAAATAATTAATAAATAATTGCTAAACGAAGCAAGAAAATGCAGCTGATCCACACAACAAAACTGCCACAAATCGGAGGCATGGTGCTCGTTTTATATGAAAGTTGATTAAGATACTAGAATGGAAAGAGTAAGAAAGAGAGTGGCTAAAAGATGAGTTTAGAATACCAAGTAAATAGACAATCAAAGTGATAGCCTGTCAGATAAAACTAAGCTAAACTATACCATCCTTTGAAGCTGAACTATCAGTAGTAAGAGCCCAACTAAGGAGTTCTTTTGCCGGCGGGGTTGTTCATGGACTATCTCAGGCACGGTGCTCGTTAGATACAGAAATGATTGTTAATATAGAACAAAGAACACGATCAAATTGAACTGTTTGGGGCGATAGTATAGTTATATACAGGCATGATGAATCTGGCAATTAAGAGCAAGATAGTAGAATAGTGTATTATACCGTGGGGAAGCATTCCAATCCTGCTGTTCTCATAGTCCGCAATCAGAAATGAGAAAAACTTGGAGTATCTATCACATGTGCAAAGAAAAGGAGAGGAAAGTTTTGATCAGAGACCTGCCAAGATTTCACAAAAAAACTAATTACACAATACGGAAATTTTACTTCTTGTTATGATAATAAATTAACTTGATAGATGAATGAAGAAAACAGAGAGAATATCATACATTTAATATTTTCCTCAATTGATCTCGTTCCCATTAATCCATATCTCATGGATGTGAGAAATCTTGGGCCAATCCTCCCCTGTCTCCCGTTGACACTTCTGTGCCAGCAAGGGGCTTGCAGAGATAGATAGATAATCAATTGAAGAGAGCAGGCCCTGTTGTGGCATGGATTGGAGCTTAGGGCAGTCACCGATTGTAAATTTTCTAAGTGAAGTGAGGATTTGAATCTTCTTGTAGTTAAGAAATTTCAGATTTGGAAGACAATTGATTGTAAGAGATGTGAGTGTTGAGGGGAGGAACAGATCTTCATCAGGGAAGGATTCAACTTCTTCACATCCATTGAAACTGAAGCTTGTAAGAGAAGGGAGTCTTTGCAAATCCCATTGCTTGCGGCCAGCAAAGAGTTTGTTGCAGTTACAGATGACAACTGATTCTAATTTAGAGGATAATTGCATTCCGGGAATAGATGATAAACCCAATCCAGGAAATGACTCAAGTTCATCACAATGACCTATGTCTAGATTCACAAGGGAAGGGAGGAAGCAATGCACTGATTTCAAATTTGGGCAATGACGTAGTGAAAGATATTCCAGACTTGGATACTCACTTATTTTTGAGGAACGGATAGATGTGGAATTGCAAAGAGGTTCGTCGTGTGCATAAAGGAATTCGAGATTGGGGCACCTCCCGATCGAAAGTTGCTTTAACATGGGCAAGATATGTAGTGGGAGGCACTTTAGTGAAAGATCAGCAATGCCAACTTCTTGTAATGTGGATGGAAGGGAAGGAACAAGCTGAGGACATCTTACAATTGTGAGTTCCAGTAAAGAAGGAAGGTGGCCGAGCAGTGCTGTGGATAGGTTGGGGCACGTTTTAATGCAAAGCTGTTGGAGGCATGGAAAAGCTATACCTTCATTTTCACCATTATAAGGAATCCATTCACACCATTGCAGCATGGTGTCAAATGTTAAGCTTTTTAGAGATTTGAATGGATTCTCTGTGGAAGTGCAGCTTCCATAAAACTCAGAACCAACGACCACCACTCCATTGAATTCCTCGACCGAGAGCGTCTTGAGAGATGCTAACTGGCCAAGAGGTGGTAAGGAGGAGCAGTGTTCACATCCATGAAGCCTCAGATCTACTATATTTGTGAAAGAAGAATGTCCAACCCAAGCAGGAAGTTTTGTGCCCCCATAACCAACGATAGCAAGATCTTCCACGTTGGTATGAGGACGTAACTGCTCCAGTATGGCATGTTCCATCAGTGAATCGTCAGTATCACCGCTCCATACCAACTTCAACCCCTTGATGTTCATTTTCCCCTCCAAATTGGCTTCTAAAGCCTCTCCAACATGAACGACATTTTGAAGGTTCCAAATACAGAGTTTTCCTCCTAGACATTTGAGCTCTCCTAACTCCTTGATGCTGGAGCTGGACCCATTTTGTTTACCCACAAAAAAATCAGTCAACAGATGAAGTTTCGACAGTTTACCCATTTGTGGCGGCATCTCCTGTAAGCTTGTGTACGAGATATCAAGATGATATAAGTTGATTAATTTCATCATCTTGGCTGGTAGCTCAACAAGACTTCCACAGCCATGCAACATTAATATTTGCAAATTGTACAGGAAAGTCACAGTTTCAGGCAACCTTCTTATTGCTGTACCAGAGAGGTCTAGATACCGTAGATGTTTCAAGTTTCTGATGGTATCCGGCAAGTCGGGTGGTGTTTTGATGATAGATAGCACTCTGACACGCTTGAATTTTCGCAATAAATTATCGAATTTCTCGTTATCTCTTAACGCTGCCAAGAAGGACAACGCGGTTTTACTCACAAAGACAGCAATTCTCAGTTTTTGTTGATTTTTCATGATAGTCTGTTCGTCTCCAAAGCTCTGGAAATGTTTTGCCATCGCCGTTGGTAATGACCTCATTGGCAATGACAAGTAGGTGCGCAAATGCTGAATTTGATCATTACCCACAAGATTCTCTAGGTCATAATATCTTGGATATGATACATGACGAGTCTTGCTAGAAAACTTGCAACATGATTCACCGTCAGCCAAAGCAAAGAAAAGTTCACCAGACACAAATTTTGCCAAGTCATTTGTGCAGTCATGCATAATGAAGTCCGATGATCCATCACCTAATTGCTCAAAAAAAGACCTCGACACAAGATCTTCAAAAAACTCGCATCCTGCTTCTACCATCTCGTTGTTTCCGCCAACAGCAAATAAAAAACCCTCAGCCATCCAAAAACGGATAATTTCCATCTTTGAAAACAAGTAACCTTTTGGAAAAATTGCACTGTATGCAAAACATCGTTTCAAATGTGATGGCAAATAATGGTAGCTCACTCTCAAAGCAGGAAGAATTTTGTCATTTCGCAGATCCCACAGATCGCTCTTCAATATTTTCTTCCATTTCTCAACATCTTTTTCAGATTTCAAGAGACTCCCAAGTGATCTCGCAGCTAAAGGCAAGCCTCTGCACCTTCTCACTATTTCTGGACGAAACATTTCTTCAAACTGTGAAATTAAATTGAAATTTTGACTGCCAAAAGCATGTTCTGAAAACAATGACCAGCAATCTTCATCACTTATTTCCCGCAAATGACAAGGCGAAACACTTTGCAAGACTGATGCTACACTTTTGTCGCGGGTCGTAATGACTATCTTGCTTCCTCGTAGCCCAGACTTCAGCGGCGCGAGTAAGAAATCCCATTTCTCTTGATCAGCACTCCAAACGTCATCTAAAACAAGCAACAATTTATGGCCCATCAATTTCTTCTCGAGCTCACAATGAAGCTGATTGGGAGTCATGGAATCACAATCTGACAAACCAACTTCCTTGAGAATGTCTTTTGTGAGATTGAGAACATCAAAATCTTGTGAAACATAGACCCATGCTTTCAGATCAAACCAATTTTGCACCACACTTTCATTGTAGACAAACTTAGCAAGAGTGGTTTTACCAATCCCACCCATTCCCACTATGGGAATCACTTCTAAGCTTTTGCCTTTAGCACCATCCGACAGCAGCAAGTTAATTATGGCCTTCAGAGCATCTTCCCTGCCAAAAACTTGAGAACCACCAAATCGAGAAGTTGTTGGCACAGACTGTGATGTTGGTCTTTCTCCAACACGCCTTATCAGATGGAGACTATGAGCTTTTTTCTCTAACCGTTCAAGTCTCTGAAAGATCTTTTCCAAGTTTTCTACCATCTCTTCCTTTTCTTTGTTAGATGAAACTTTAAGCGACGAGAAAAAGTTTCGCACCAGATCTGTGCTGGTTTGAGGGCCGTCAGCTTCCAGTTCTGATCGTTGAGCTTCATAATCAATCTCATCCAACAAGTCTTCAGCGTCATAGACAGCAACTTTAACATCATCAAGCCAGTTCTTCACAGCTGCCACAGTAATCTCCTTCTCCTCAGCATCAGTGACCAGGCCATTAATAGAATTCAATGTTTCTGCCAACTTTTCCATCAGTCCGTTGTCGAGCTTTCGGCATTTGAAGAAATCCAGAACCAGGGGAGAATCCAACTTCTGCACCAAAAGATCAACAGCGCTGTTGAGAAATGCTGATCCAATCGCAGCAGCTACAGCCTCCATTGTGATTGTTTGCAAAGGGGTGCGAGTGCGAGTGTGAATAAGAAAATGGTGAAAGGAAAAGCGAAGAAATTGCAAGTGAGTAAGTGCAGAAGTTTGATTGAAGATAGATATGCTTGCTTGTATTTGATTTTATTGACTAAGTCAAAACTTTATAAAAGCATGTCTGAAGATAAAAAGAAGAGTGAATTGTAAATTTGCTTTATTTTATTTCTGCAACATACATTAATTAGTCTTTTTTTTTTTAAAAAAAATACCATTGTCTCTATATTTTTAAAAATTTCTTAAAACTTTAATCTTTTCATTTTTTTTGATTTTTTATTTTAAAAAATAAAAAATATGAAAGTAATGATAAGAAAAAAATAACATTTTTAAAATAAAATAATATTAAATTAAACAAAGTCAATACTAATTAAAATATTAACTAATTATTTAAAAAGAAAACAAAGTGATTAATTAATTTTTATTTTATTTTTTTAAATAAGGGGACTTTTACTCATAAAAAGAAAGATAATTGTTATCTAGCTGTCTTTAATCGTTTAGAGTTAAATAGTTCTAACCTATTTAAATTTTAAGTCATTTGATAATTATTCTTTTAACTTTTGATTTTAGATTAGAAATTTTTTAATTATTTTTATTTAAAATTAATTTTTTTATTAGTTTTTTTTGTCAATTGTAAATTAAAATTTTTAATATTAAAAATACACATGATTTGTATGTGAATGATTTTTTTTCCAATAAATATTCTTTATTTTAAAATATTATTTAATTATTAATAAATTTTTAATTTTTAGGAGATAAGAAATAAATTTTGAAAGAAAAAAAATCTTTCATAAATTTTAGTATATTTTTAGCTGTTAAATAACAATATTTGAATATTAAAATTGATAAATATTTACTAAAATGATTAAATTTCAAACAGGATAAACCTCTACTCCGTTTTAAATTAGAATTAGTTTTTTAAAAATTTTAAATTTGGTTTCCAACTTTTCTCAAAATAATTTGAGCAGGATGACATGTTTGTGGACATTATTTATTGACTTTATGTAGTAATTTTGTGAACATTATCACTTGGCTTCCAGTATCTAAAGCACATTCTTTATATTTTTCAAAAAAAAAATCATCTTTTTTATTTAAAAATTTATTTAATTAAAACTTTAAATGATGTTTTTTTAAAAAAATTAATTATTTTTTAAAAAAATTGTCCAAAACAAAATTATATAAAAAATATATTTTAAAAAATATAAATAAAAAATACTGATATAACATAATAAATAGTATTTTTTTTATAAAACTAAAAAAAAAAAATACAATATTGTTGGAAGGGAGAGTATATAGATTTGTTAATTCCCGTGCCCAGACTTTGGAAACATAGTATGCATGAAATGAATCAATTGTTATTGACTTAAAACATTATCACGTGCCTAGAGAAAATCGCTCCGTGTGCCGTGGATTGAGGGAGATAGAAAGCTCGCGCAATATAATATGTATAAAAGTTTCAAATCTTTTTTTTTCCGACGCTATGATAATAGATATTATTTTTAAAAATAAAAAAATTTTAAAGATAAATTTAAAAAATAAAAAAATTAAATGATATAATATTCATTAAAATAAAAAATTCAACTTTTTTCCTCTCTTGTATCCCTCTCAAAAAACACTATTCTTATAAAATTATGATGATTTTTTTTTATACCACTAATATCATATAACACTATTCTTTTTTTTAGATCATAGAAAAATTAATTTTTAAAAATTTAATTTAGAATTAGATATTTTTTTTAATATTTTAATTTAAAATTAGAATTTTTTTATGTTTTTTATTAATTATATTTGTAAAAATACATGTAACTTGCACATGACTTTTTAAATTTTTTTAATAACTAAATTTATGTAAAAATTTATGGATGTTTTGCTTTCCGTTTCAAAACTTTTTTTCTAAAATATTCTTTAATTCTCGAATTTTTAATTCCAAATTAAACCTCTTCTAATATTTATTTTAAAATTAAATCTTTCCGTTATGTTTTTATCAATTATAATAGTAAAAGTGCATATGATTTGGAACGTGATCCGGTGTAAAAGCCATTCTTTATATATATAAATTA